ATGCATTAATTTCATTGTACACCACATTTATGTCACTTACATAAGCATAAGTTTAGAGTGTTCATGTTAAATAAATACTCAAAGATGTAAATATACCTAAGAAATGACCACAAACATATAAAAATTGAAAAAAATTGTAGAATTATGACAACTTTCATCAGCAGCTGGAAATAATGTATATATCAAAGGATTGTGAATCTGCAGAAGTTCCTTTAAGGTGTTTGTATCTTCTTCTTCATAATTGTTTTTCACAATGATAATAATTCTTACACATAACATAGTGCCTTTCAAGGCAGGAGGATGATTCAAAGCACTTCACAGGATGTACTGTCAAGTTTGTAGGCAGCAGCCAAACCACACAGCAGTGTTCCCAAAACAGCCATGAAATGAGTGACTCATTTTATTTTGGAGATTGTTGGTTAGGACACTGGAAGAAACTGCCTTCTCTTTTTCAAACATGCCATGGAATAAAGAATCTACCCTGTGCTAGGTTGAGAGAAATCTGTAATTAGAGGAGTTGCTTCTAGCTGCATGGACACTGCAAAAGACAGATATTTATGTCTGCCATGGGGTCAGCCCAGGTCCCAGAGGCATTGTGGAGAAGAGCAATGGTCCTCATTGTTGGAGGAATGAGCTATGAGCAATGATTAGACAAGCTAGTCTTGAGAGAAGACGACTCAGAAGGGACCTTGTAGAGGTCTATCAAATTTTAAATGGGATTGAAAAGTCAACTCAGATCAAAACTTTATCTCCAGGGCAAGTAATGCCTGGAATAAATTGCCAGGAAGTATGGTTGAGGCCGGACAGTGACGGGATGGGAGGGCAGTAGCAGTATTCTGGAGGGATGAGGTCAGATGGGTCTTCTTCATCAAACTAATCTTGTGATAGTTGCTTGGACAGTCGCCAATAGCTTGTGAACACACATCATATATGAACACTGGTCAAAGCCTCAGAAAAGATGGAATTTGAATCAGAAAGTAACATTTCCATCGTGTTTGTTTACCAACCATTACTCAGAATATACAATTTAAAAGAATTAGTCTTTGAAGTGAAGTTAAGTTCTTCCAAACTATGGTCTCAACTTAAGCATGTAAATAGTCCCTTGGGTGAGGTTCAGATCCCATAGAACTAGAATACAAAATAACAATAATAATAATCCTTGCATTTTATATATAATAATAATCCTCACATTTGATATAATAATAATCCTTGCATTTGATATAGCACCCTATCATGTCTTGAGATTTCTCAAATATATTCGCAGAATATATTGTAAAGTGGAGTGACTGTATTTTATGGGCAAAACAGAGCAGCCAATTGCGCACAGCAGTCTCCCACAAACAATTGTGCATAGAGTGACCAATTTTTTTTGAGGGGGAGAGATTATTACCCCCAGGAAAGCAATCCGCCAATCGACTAACAACCAGGTTCCTACTTACTGCTAAATAAATAGAGACGTGTGGAGTAAGGAAGCTTGTCCAACATTGCCCAGGCTGGGAATAGAACCCAGATCCTCTCGCTTGCAAGGTGAGCACACTAACCACTATGGGACAGAAGGAGTCAGTGTTTTCAGAAAAGAATTTGAGAAAAACAATCTGATGATGGTTCCTGTGTGCTTCTTCCACAGGAGCCTGGACAATCTACTGGGAAACTGCCTTCAAATTTCGAGTCAGGAGATCCATGTTTTTCCTCATGTCATCATCCACCTGACTCAATCACCCACAGCTTCCTTACAACTGTGTTCTACTGAGCCTAGAGCCTCGCACATGGTTTTTATCCCATCTTATCCTTTTACCTCAGGAGAGGTCCCTTGCCATAGTGATCGTGTCACAATGTAGTCCTTCCTGATACCCCCTTTCCAACAAACACTCGCCTTTCCCTGCAGCATGATAGCTGGCTGAGCTGAGAGTAATGAAAGACCTGAGACTCGCCACAGATTATCATTTGGATTCTTGCAAACAGGACTAACCAATTCTTTGGCTGAGGAACTGAATGAATGAAAATAAAACAAATATTAGTTTGTTTGTTTTGGTCAGTATCTGACAGGTCAAGAGACCACCACCATGTTAAATAGCATCCAAATCAGACTGAGAGTTCCTTACATGCATTTCACCTACATGTGCAGATTTTTCCATGTCTGGAATGGAATGCACACTCTCTCCCTGGAGGGCACACCTTGCTAACCTAATTCCAGCAAGTATTAGGCAAGTTGGTGAGAACCAAGGCTTAGAGACCTCAGAGTATGCGTTGGTTTTCCAGTGAAACAATCATTGAAAGTGCTGTCTGACATGCTTCCTCCTGCTTGTTCACTGTAGGCCACCCATTTGGGCTTTGGCTTGCAGGGTCAACAGGACCTGATTGGAAAGAGTCTGTGTCCCCAATAACGATCTGCCCCTCCAAGTCTGCCGATGAGCCAGGTTAACTGGTCTGTTATCAGCAGTGTCCTGGAATACTGCGGACACACCTGGTTTAAAAAACAAACAAACAAGACCACCACAGAGGATTGACTCAATTCTGATATAAACACATCAAGCACATCACCTTGGAGCCAGCTCAAATACAAGGAAACTCTGCTTATTATTCCCCAACCCTAGGAAGATAGTTATTAGTTGGTTATTTGATATCAGACCAGTGCAGGTTTGTGCTCTCGCAAGGTAGATGGCAGGTACGAGAAACCCCTTATGAGGTTCTTGGTGAGCAGCACAGCTCCGCATGAAAGAGCTCTGCACAGCTCTTCACCATCCTGCTTCCCACAGCTCAGTTACACATGCCTACCCATTGAATGATGGTTCTGCACTTTGGAGATGTGGAGCTGTAGCAGCAGCTGCTCACTACTCTGCAAACCAATCAAGGTGGATCCCAAGCCCTGGATTTACGAACGTGTCCATGAACTCACACTCCAGGTATAGCCTTCCAGCAGCTGTCGCCCGAAGCCTCAGAGTTTGCTTATCAGGTATCAGGTCATTCACAAAGACAAAAATATCATTCAGAGTTCATTTTATGCTTAGACTTGGGAAAGCAGAGGAAAATGCAGCTGATCAGTACTGGCAGAGAGGCAGCAGGAATATCAGAAGTGATATTATCACATGTGTCCAGACCCAGAGACATTTCTGAATAAGATGAAATGGCTGAGGATGGCCTCCTTTGTTGCTCTGAACACCTGCTCTCGCTCTTTTATTTGGAAAGCGCTGCTGTGAAAGCTCAGCTTCAACCTCAATGATCTGTGAGTGCTGGAGCAGGGAGACAGGTGCCTGGCAGTGGGCGTGTGCAACGAATGTGTTACTCATGTTACACACTTTCTTAAGAGTGCGTAACGTGAGTAAAGAGACATAATAACCAGGAAAGACAAAGAGAAACGTATCATAAAGGAGAGAAGAGTGAACATCTTGCGAGTTGAAGTTGGTGTTTCTTAAGGAAGCCTCTTGTTAATTTATATACATGGTATGTTGTTTGCTGGAGGTGCAATCTTGGCACTTGTGGGCATTTGATGGATGATTTCAAGAACAGAGCATCGGTGTAGCCAAAACCACTCTATGCGCACCAAGAGAATCCCACTATTGTATTGGAACGATCCTGAAACAGAACTGTAGCATGTACATCCCTGGTATGAAAGTGCAGTGTAAGTATTATTTTGTGTGTGTGTATACAGAGTTATTAACTCTACCTGCATTGTCTATACTGTATATGTACAATATAATCTCTACCAGTACTGCCTCATTACAAATATCAGCTGATTGTAGATAGTATGTGCCTGCACTGGTAGCATGCACTATACCATGCCTGCCCTGTTTTATTGTACTGTACTATGTCTGTACTGGTTGTTTGTATTGTATTATGCCTGTATAGAGTTCTTGCTGGCTATAACTCCACTAACAGGCTATTTTTTCTTTCCCACTAGCCGATAACAGTCATTCTCTAAAGTGGACATTGTAAGAGATAGCTTCATTCCTCAACAAAGCAGGGATTGGGTTTAGTTTCTCATGAATTAAAAGTGATTATTAAACAGATGTTGATTTCTTTAGTCATACATCTGTGATTCACACACAAATTGTTCTTCACTGACACGTTTCTCTGTAGCTAATAAACTGGTTAATCACTGATAGCTGGAGTTTGTGTGTGATTATTTTAACATGGTCCTGAAATTGTTTCTAAATGTACAAACTCTTGAGCTACTTTTCTTTTGTCCTTTTTTGTCCTAGAATGTCAGGGATTTGACTACTGATCTTAATCCGATTGCAAAGCTTTTGATTCAGCCTCTACATTTTATGTTGTCCATACACCTGACGAGCTTACAATTCTTCCAATATCCATGTCATTCATGACGAATGGAAAGTATTAGGATTCAAGCATCAAACCTGCAGGATTTCACTCAACACAGTCACCAGGCGAGTATTACACCTCTCACAATTGCTGAAGGTTTCTATTTTTCTTCTCCAGTCCCACATTGTAACCGTGTATTTGATTATTGTGCCTTTTAGGTTAACAATAAGATCTTTCACATGGATCTTTGTTGGGTGTTTTCTTGAGGTCGAAAATGTCAGTGAGTGCTGTTCACCATCTGCTTTAGCTGTAACATGTGGTAATTACAGAGGTTTGTCAGACATTCTCGTCCCAAGGTTTCCACACACCTTTGTTTACCGCAATAAATAGGAACCCGGTTGTCAGTGGATTAGTGGATCGCTTTTCTGGGGATCATAACCTCTTCAAAAAAAAATGATCATTCGGTCACAATCCACCGAAGGGCTTTGGGTTTTAAGTTAAGTATAAGTTGGAATATCAACAAAACGCAAAATACTACAGATGTTGGAAATCTGAAAGAAAAACAGAAGTAGCTGTGAAGACTGAGCAGCTCAGCAGCAGCTGCGGAGAGGGGAAAGCGAGTCAACGTTTGGCCTAAGTTCCTTTCTCCACAGAAGCGCCTGAGCTGCTGAGCCCTCCATACACAGCACTGCGGGGACACCGCGGAACACAGAGAGCGCGCACCGCGCTCCGTCGGACCTCTTTGTGGACGGACAGGACTGTCGGGGGGAGCGGCGGGAGCGGCGCTCACAGGGCCTCACACACACCAGCGGACATGGCGAGGCTCCTCAGGACCGTCCGCAACCACTGGAAAAAAAGCACGTTCGGGGTCTGTGCTCTCAGCTGCGGAGCAAAGTGGGTGTACAACAGACACTGGTGAGGGGCAGCGATACTGTGAGAGAAGGCACTGGGTATCACTGTTACTGTGTGTGGGCAGTGGGTATCACTGTGTTACTGTGAGTGTGGGCAGTGGGTATCACTGTTACTGTGAGTGTGGGCAGTGGGTATCACTGTTACTGTGAGTGTGGGCAGTGGGTATCACTGTTACTGTGAGTGTGGGCAGTGGGTATCACTGTGTTACTGTGTGTGTGGGCAGTGGGTATCACTGTGTTACTGTGAGTGTGGGCAGTGGGTATCACTGTTACTGTGAGTGTGGGCAGTGGGTATCACTGTGTTACTGTGAGTGTGGGCAGTGGGTATCACTGTGTTACTGTGAGTGTGGGCAGTGGGTATCACTGTGTTACTGTGTGTGTGGGCAGTGGGTATCACTGTGTTACTGTGTGTGTGGGCAGTGGGTATCACTGTGTTACTGTGCGTGTGGGCAGTGGGTATCGCTGTGTTACTGTGTGTGTGGGCAGTGGGTATCACTGTGTTACTGTGAGTGTGGGCAGTGGGTATCACTGTGTTACTGTGAGTGTGGGCAGTGGGTATCACTGTGTTACTGTGAGTGTGGGCAGTGGGTATCACTGTGTTACTGTGTGTGGGCAGTGGGTATCACTGTGTTACTGTGAGTGTGGGCAGTGGGTATCACTGTGTTACTGTGAGTGTGGGCAGTGGGTATCACTGTGTTACTGTGAGTGTGGGCAGTGGGTATCACTCTGTTACTGTGAGTGTGGGCAGTGGGTATCACTGTTACTGTGAGTGTGGGCAGTGGGTATCACTGTGTTACTGTGGGTGTGGGCAGTGGGTATCACTGTGTTACTGTGAGTGTGGGCAGTGGGTATCACTGTTACTGTGTGTGTGGGCAGTGGGTATCACTGTGTTACTGTGAGTGTGGGCAGTGGGTATCACTGTGTTACTGTGTGTGGGCAGTGGGTATCACTGTGTTACTGTGAGTGTGGGCAGTGGGTATCACTGTGTTACTGTGAGTGTGGGCAGTGGGTATCACTGTGTTACTGTGTGTGTGGGCAGTGGGTATCACTGTGTTACTGTGTGTGTGGGCAGTGGGTATCACTGTGTTACTGTGAGTGTGGGCAGTGGGTATCACTGTTACTGTGTGTGTGGGCAGTGGGTATCACTGTGTTACTGTGAGTGTGGGCAGTGGGTATCACTGTTACTGTGTGTGTGGGCAGTGGGTATCACTGTGTTACTGTGTGTGTGGGCAGTGGGTATCACTGTGTTACTGTGTGTGTGGGCAGTGGGTATCACTGTGTTACTGTGTGTGTGGGCAGTGGGTATCACTGTGTTACTGTGAGTGTGGGCAGTGGGTATCACTGTTACTGTGTGTGTGGGCAGTGGGTATCACTGTGTTACTGTGAGTGTGGGCAGTGGGTATCACTGTGTTACTGTGAGTGTGGGCAGTGGGTATCACTGTGTTACTGTGTGTGTGGGCAGTGGGTATCACTGTTACTGTGAGTGTGGGCAGTGGGTATCACTGTGTTACTGTGAGTGTGGGCAGTGGGTATCACTGTGTTACTGTGAGTGTGGGCAGTGGGTATCACTGTGTTACTGTGAGTGTGGGCAGTGGGTATCACTGTGTTACTGTGTGTGTGGGCAGTGGGTATCACTGTGTTACTGTGAGTGTGGGCAGTGGGTATCACTGTGTTACTGTGAGTGTGGGCAGTGGGTATCACTGTGTTACTGTGAGTGTGGGCAGTGGGTATCACTGTGTTACTGTGAGTGTGGGCAGTGGGTATCACTGTTACTGTGAGTGTGGGCAGTGGGTATCACTGTGTTACTGTGAGTGTGGGCAGTGGGTATCACTGTGTTACTGTGAGTGTGGGCAGTGGGTATCACTGTGTTACTGTGAGTGTGGGCAGTGGGTATCACTGTGTTACTGTGAGTGTGGGCAGTGGGTATCACTGTGTTACTGTGAGTGTGGGCAGTGGGTATCACTGTGTTACTGTGTGTGTGGGCAGTGGGTATCACTGTGTTACTGTGAGTGTGGGCAGTGGGTATCACTGTGTTACTGTGAGTGTGGGCAGTGGGTATCACTGTGTTACTGTGTGTGTGGGCAGTGGGTATCACTGTTACTGTGAGTGTGGGCAGTGGGTATCACTGTGTTACTGTGAGTGTGGGCAGTGGGTATCACTGTGTTACTGTGAGTGTGGGCAGTGGGTATCACTGTGTTACTGTGAGTGTGGGCAGTGGGTATCACTGTGTTACTGTGAGTGTGGGCAGTGGGTATCACTGTGTTACTGTGAGTGTGGGCAGTGGGTATCACTGTGTTACTGTGAGTGTGGGCAGTGGGTATCACTGTTACTGTGAGTGTGGGCAGTGGGTATCACTGTGTTACTGTGAGTGTGGGCAGTGGGTATCACTGTTACTGTGTGTGGGCAGTGGGTATCACTGTGTTACTGTGAGTGTGGGCAGTGGGTATCACTGTGTTACTGTGAGTGTGGGCAGTGGGTATCACTGTGTTACTGTGAGTGTGGGCAGTGGGTATCACTGTGTTACTGTGAGTGTGGGCAGTGGGTATCACTGTGTTACTGTGAGTGTGGGCAGTGGGTATCACTGTGTTACTGTGAGTGTGGGCAGTGGGTATCACTGTGTTACTGTGAGTGTGGGCAGTGGGTATCACTGTGTTACTGTGAGTGTGGGCAGTGGGTATCACTGTGTTACTGTGTGTGTGGGCAGTGGGTATCACTGTGTTACTGTGAGTGTGGGCAGTGGGTATCACTGTGTTACTGTGAGTGTGGGCAGTGGGTATCACTGTGTTACTGTGAGTGTGGGCAGTGGGTATCACTGTGTTACTGTGAGTGTGGGCAGTGGGTATCACTGTTACTGTGAGTGTGGGCAGTGGGTATCACTGTTACTGTGTGTGTGGGCAGTGGGTATCACTGTGTTACTGTGAGTGTGGGCAGTGGGTATCACTGTGTTACTGTGAGTGTGGGCAGTGGGTATCACTGTTACTGTGAGTGTGGGCAGTGGGTATCACTGTGTTACTGTGTGTGTGGGCAGTGGGTATCACTGTGTTACTGTGAGTGTGGGCAGTGGGTATCACTGTGTTACTGTGAGTGTGGGCAGTGGGTATCACTGTGTTACTGTGAGTGTGGGCAGTGGGTATCACTGTTACTGTGAGTGTGGGCAGTGGGTATCACTGTGTTACTGTGTGTGGGCAGTGGGTATCACTGTGTTACTGTGTGTGTGGGCAGTGGGTATCACTGTGTTACTGTGAGTGTGGGCAGTGGGTATCACTGTGTTACTGTGTGTGGGTGATCACTGTGTTACTGTGATGGGCAGTGGGTATCACTGTGTTACTGTGAGTGTGGGCAGTGGGTATCACTGTGTTACTGTGAGTGTGGGCAGTGGGTATCACTGTGTTACTGTGAGTGTGGGCAGTGGGTATCACTGTGTTACTGTGAGTGTGGGCAGTGGGTATCACTGGTTACTGTGAGTGTGGGCAGTGGGTATCACTGTTACTGTGTTGTGGGCAGTGGGTATCACTGTGTTACTGTGAGTGTGGGCAGTGGGTATCACTGTGTTACTGTGAGTGTGGGCAGTGGGTATCACTGTGTTACTGTGAGTGTGGGCAGTGGGTATCACTGTGTTACTGTGAGTGTGGGCAGTGCGGGGGGGTGGGTATCACTGTGTTACTGTGGTGTGGGCAGTGGGTATCACTGTGTTACTGTGAGTGTGGGCAGTGGGTATCACTGTGTTACTGTGAGTGTGGGCAGTGGGTATCACTGTGTTACTGTGAGTGTGGGCAGTGGGTATCACTGTGTTACTGTGAGTGTGGGCAGTGGGTATCACTGGTTACTGTGAGTGTGGGCAGTGGGTATCACTGTGTTACTGTGAGTGTGGGCAGTGGGTATCACTGGTTACTGTGAGTGTGGGCAGTGGGTATCACTGTGTTACTGTGAGTGTGGGCAGTGGGTATCACTGTGTTACTGTGAGTGTGGGCAGTGGGTATCACTGTGTTACTGTGAGTGTGGGCAGTGGGTATCACTGTGTTACTGTGAGTGTGGGCAGTGGGTATCACTGTGTTACTGTGTGTGGGCAGTGGGTATCACTGTTACTGTGAGTGTGGGCAGTGGGTATCACTGTGTTACTGTGAGTGTGGGCAGTGGGTATCACTGTGTTACTGTGAGTGTGGGCAGTGGGTATCACTGTGTTACTGTGAGTGTGGGCAGTGGGTATCACTGTGTTACTGTGAGTGTGGGCAGTGGGTATCACTGTGTTACTGTGTGTGTGGGCAGTGGGTATCACTGTGTTACTGTGAGTGTGGGCAGTGGGTATCACTGTTACTGTGAGTGTGGGCAGTGGGTATCACTGTGTTACTGTGAGTGTGGGCAGTGGGTATCACTGTGTTACTGTGTGTGGGCAGTGGGTATCACTGTGTTACTGTGTGTGGGCAGTGGGTATCACTGTTACTGTGAGTGTGGGCAGTGGGTATCACTGTGTTACTGTGTGTGGGCAGTGGGTATCACTGTGTTACTGTGAGTGTGGGCAGTGGGTATCACTGTGTTACTGTGAGTGTGGGCAGTGGGTATCACTGTGTTACTGTGAGTGTGGGCAGTGGGTATCACTGTTACTGTGTGTGGGCAGTGGGTATCACTGTGTTACTGTGAGTGTGGGCAGTGGGTATCACTGTGTTACTGTGAGTGTGGGCAGTGGGTATCACTGTGTTACTGTGAGTGTGGGCAGTGGGTATCACTGTGTTACTGTGAGTGTGGGCAGTGGGTATCACTGTGTTACTGTGAGTGTGGGCAGTGGGTATCACTGTGTTACTGTGAGTGTGGGCAGTGGGTATCACTGTGTTACTGTGAGTGTGGGCAGTGGGTATCACTGTTACTGTGAGTGTGGGCAGTGGGTATCACTGTGTTACTGTGAGTGTGGGCAGTGGGTATCACTGTGTTACTGTGTGTGTGGGCAGTGGGTATCACTGTGTTACTGTGTGTGTGGGCAGTGGGTATCACTGTGTTACTGTGAGTGTGGGCAGTGGGTATCACTGTGTTACTGTGTGTGGGCAGTGGGTATCACTGTTACTGTGTGTGGGCAGTGGGTATCACTGTGTTACTGTGAGTGTGGGCAGTGGGTATCACTGTGTTACTGTGAGTGTGGGCAGTGGGTATCACTGTGTTACTGTGAGTGTGGGCAGTGGGTATCACTGTTACTGTGAGTGTGGGCAGTGGGTATCACTGTGTTACTGTGAGTGTGGGCAGTGGGTATCACTGTGTTACTGTGAGTGTGGGCAGTGGGTATCACTGTGTTACTGTGAGTGTGGGCAGTGGGTATCACTGTGTTACTGTGTGTGGGCAGTGGGTATCACTGTGTTACTGTGAGTGTGGGCAGTGGGTATCACTGTGTTACTGTGAGTGTGGGCAGTGGGTATCACTGTGTTACTGTGAGTGTGGGCAGTGGGTATCACTGTGTTACTGTGAGTGTGGGCAGTGGGTATCACTGTGTTACTGTGAGTGTGGGCAGTGGGTATCACTGTTACTGTGAGTGTGGGCAGTGGGTATCACTGTGTTACTGTGAGTGTGGGCAGTGGGTATCACTGTGTTACTGTGAGTGTGGGCAGTGGGTATCACTGTGTTACTGTGAGTGTGGGCAGTGTTTTTTTTTTTTACTGTAGTGTGGGCAGTGGGTATCACTGTGTTACTGTGAGTGTGGGCAGTGGGTATCACTGTGTTACTGTGAGTGTGGGCAGTGGGTATCACTGTGTTACTGTGAGTGTGGGCAGTGGGTATCACTGTGTTACTGTGAGTGTGGGCAGTGGGTATCACTGTGTTACTGTGAGTGTGGGCAGTGGGTATCACTGTTACTGTGAGTGTGGGCAGTGGGTATCACTGTGTTACTGTGAGTGTGGGCAGTGGGTATCACTGTTACTGTGAGTGTGGGCAGTGGGTATCACTGTTTACTGTGAGTGTGGGCAGTGGGTATCACTGTGTTACTGTGAGTGTGGGCAGTGGGTATCACTGTGTTACTGTGAGTGTGGGCAGTGGGTATCACTGTGTTACTGTGAGTGTGGGCAGTGGGTTTCACTGTTCTGTGTGTGTGGGCAGTGGGTATCACTGTGTTACTGTGAGTGTGGGCAGTGGGTATCACAGTGTTACTGTGAGTGTTGGGCAGTGGGTATCACTGTGTTACTGTGAGTGTGGGCAGTGGGTATCACTGTGTTACTGTGAGTGTGGGCAGTGGGTATCACTGTGTTACTGTGAGTGTGGGCAGTGGGTATCACTGTGTTACTGTGTGTGTGGGCAGTGGGTATCACTGTGTTACTGTGAGTGTGGGCAGTGGGTATCACTGTGACTGTGGTTACTGTGTGAGTGTGGGCAGTGGGTATCACTGTGTTACTGTGTGTGGGCAGTGGGTATCACTGTGTTACTGTGAGTGTGGGCAGTGGGTATCACTGTGTTACTGTGAGTGTGGGCAGTGGGTATCACAGTGTTACTGTGAGTGTGGGCAGTGGGTATCACTGTGTTACTGTGAGTGTGGGCAGTGGGTATCACTGTTACTGTGAGTGTGGGCAGTGGGTATCACTGTGTTACTGTGTGTGTGGGCAGTGGGTATCACTGTGTTACTGTGTGGTGTGGGCAGTGGGTATCACTGTGTTACTGTGAGTGTGGGCAGTGGGTATCACTGTTACTGTGAGTGTGGGCAGTGGGTATCACAGTGTTACTGTGAGTGTGGGCAGTGGGTATCACAGTGTTACTGTGTGTGGGCAGTGGGTATCACAATGTTACTGTGAGTGGGGGTAGTGCGTATCACAGTGTTACTGTGAGTGTAGGTAGTGTTCTCTCCCGCACCAGACTCCGCGACCCTATCAGCTCCATTATCACCCCCCTAGATAATTATCTGGGGGGGGGGGGCAAGTTTGCAGGGCTATGCGGAGAGAGCGGGGGGTGTGATTGATTTGGAAGCTCTTTTAAAAGAGCCGGCACAGACACGATGGGCCGAATAGCCTCCTTCTGTGCTGTATAATTCTATGATTCTATGATCCTCGCCCGGCTCCACTGACTCCTCATCACTCAGAGGTTACAGTTCAAGATCCTGGTGCTCACCTTCAAAGCCCTTCATACCTTGCTCCTCCCTACCTCTGTGATCTCCTTCCTTACCCGCTGCCAACCCATGCGCTCCCTCCCCTTAGCGGGCTCTGGCCTGCTTCATGTCCCCCACCTTGCCCGCCCCACCAAGACCCATCTCAAGACCCTCCTCTTCAAATGTGCCTTTGGTCAGCCTCCTACCCCCAACATTTCCGCCTTCCACTCCTAATCGCAGCCACCAGCTCGAGTGCGGATCCCTAATTGTACAGCGCCTTAGGACAGCCTCCTGACATGTTAGGCACTATACAAATGTAATTTATCATTGTTGCTACTGTGAGTGCAGACCGTGAGGGTATCACTGTATTTCTGTGATTGGAGACAGTGTTCCAGTGAGGATATCAGTGTTGTGTTTTCTTGTTTTATTAGTTGCTAGCTGTACCCATTGCAGCTATGCTTGCAACCAAAGGATCCAATCTTGAAAATGGGTTTCAGTGATACCACTCACAAACATGCCATACATGTGCGATGAGCTTGTTTGGGTCATAGCTCATCAACGATAGAAGATCCTATGAAAGCTATGATAACTGACGGGGCGTACTGTATGATCCACCAGGTCCTCGAGTTATTGCAAGGCATAGTTGAGCACAGCTAAATGGAGTGACCTCTGCTGCTGGGCATCATTTTGCTGTGTTCTTGCATGCTTTTCAGCATTCAAGTCCGGCTGTGCTGTTCTTTGAGCAGGCAACTCATTTTGCCATGTTCTTGGATGCCTTTCTGTGTCGAAGTCTAACCGTGATGTTCTTTGTTCTTCAGTTTCATTTAATTGGCCTTTGCCCTTTCGTTTGGCATTTTTATTTGTCCTTGAAAGATTTTACCTTCACTTCCTAGGCATCTTTATCCCATAAGATTAAGAAAATATGTTATTCGGAGGATTCCTGTGGGAAGACTTAGTGGGAAAACTCAGTTGGAGGACTCCAATTGGGAGGACTCAGTGGGAAGACTCCTGTTGGAAGGAATCCTTTTTTGGAGTCCATACATGTGTGATGATCTTGTTTAGGTCACAGCTCATCAACAATAAGACATCCCTGAAAATATGCCCATGACATGAAAATATGTCCATGCCCTTGCAAGACCTTTTCGATAAAGTATAAATCATGTCTCTACGTCAATCGGTTATTGCATTATTGGCAGACAGACAGACACACAGACAAACATTTTGTCTTTATTAGTATAGATTAATATTGCAATGATGTGAGGTACTGAGATAATTGTATTGTTCGTGCAGGANTTTTTTTGCTGAAACAAAGCCTGAACCAAGTAATAATAGTCATTCATTTTCAAATATTATTTATTAGTAACGCTGGATGATAACTGGCAGTATCTGGGATGTTCACCACTGTTATCAGAGTGGAGTGTTGTTTCACACGTTGAGGTCTATGGTGAGCTGAGTATGATTCTGGCTCATGCAGCATGGCTTCCGTGAGTGTGGCTGTTGGGGGAAGCCCTGCAGGTGATACCCTTTCAGTCAGTTGATTTAGACGATGTGAATCTTGAAGCATTTCTTAACCCACTTTTCTTTTTGATTCAGTGACAGCCTCTTGCGCAGGGCAGCATGTCAGGAAGCAAAGGTAAGTCTGCCTGAGAACTCTCCTCTGAGTAGTATTTCCCTTGGCCACTTTTGAGTCAAACAATTCAGGGTCAGCATGTGGGGGAGGAGCATTTCTTAAAGGGAGGGAGTTTGTGTTATTCTTTGTGCTGTCTTCTGGGAAATAAGTTCATTATTTTCTATTCGTGTCCATCTGTCCAGGTCGATAGCGCTCTCACCATTGAGTCAGAAGGCTATGGTTCAAGTTGCACAAAATAATAAATAATCCTTGCATTTGATATAATGCCTTTCCACGTCTTCGAGACATTTCAAAGCGCTTCACAGAATATACTGTAAAGTGAATTGACTGTATGTTGTGGGCAAAACGCGGCAGCCAATTGTGCACAACAGCATCCCACAAACAGGCGTGGATTGAAGTGACCAATTTATTATTTTTTTTCTTGGGGGATTATTATTAGGCATGTGGAGTAAGGAAACTTACTTACCCAAGGTTCCGCCCCCTGCCGAGAACCGAACCCAGGTCTCTTGCTTGCGAGGTGAGTGCTCTAACCACTGAGCTACAGGTCTCCGCATCAGGACTTAGACCTCACAGTCCAGGCTGACACTCCTGGGCAGGGCTGGCAGAGCGCTGCATTGCCAGAGTTGCTGTCCTTTAGATGAGATGTTAAAAACTGAGGATCCTGTTGAGGTGGACTTTAAAGATCCCATTGCCCCCTGGTGTTCTGGCCACAATCTTCTCAATAAAATTGGTCCTTCCCTTCCTGGCAATAATCACGATCAAAAAGGAACATCTTTAGGTGAGAGTTGAAGGTGGGGAGGGAGGAGGCAAGATGGAGCGGGATTGAGGGAGAGAGTTTCAGAGTTTCGGGGTGTAGTGGCTGAAGACACAGCCACTGATGGTGGCGAAGAGGGGACGAGGGACAAACAGGAGGCTGGAGGCAGCGGTGGTGGCCTGGGGTTTAAGCAGGTCAGATACGTAGGGAGGTGCGAGGGCATGAAGGGATTTAAAAACGATTGAGAGATTGATCTTGAAATCGATCCGTTCAGTAAATCTTTCATTTGACTTGTGAAATTGGAATTTAAATATTTGGGAGCCATATAGACGTAAGCATCTAATCCTTTCAGCCAACGGATTGGATAGTTGTTAAAATATGTGATTAATTTAATTAATAATTAATAAATTGTAATTAAATCACTGCTTCTTCTCCCCACGTCTGGGGTAAGGCCAGTTTGTTGCGTAATACTGTAGAGATATTTAAATTCCAATTTTACAGGTCAAATGAAAGATTTAATTTTATCTTTGACCGCATCCAGGGTCAACACCTAGAATTTACCTCTTGAACTGAGTTTTCTATGTTTGTGTTTAGGAATATGGGGACCAGCTTCTGCCAGTCAGTGCCAAAGTTAAGAAAGCGACAGTCTTTCTCAATCCTGCTGCTTGCAATGGGTAAGTAATGCCTTCAACAACAACAACAAAATTACATTTGTAATGCGCTGAACAGTCAGGGATCAGGACTTGAGCGTGGGGGGCAGGGTTGGCATGAGGGAAGGCAGCTGAAGGCAAGGTCAAAAAGGAGGGTCTTGAACCGTGCCTTAAAGGAGGTAAGAGAGGCAGCAAGGAGAAGGGATTGGGGGATGGAGTTCCAAAGAGTGGGGGCAGAGAAGCTGAGAGCCTGGCCACCAAAGGTAGGGCGGGTCGGATGGGAGACATGGAGCAGGCCTGTGCCTGCTGAGCGGAAGGAACGGACAGGTTGATAGAGGGTCAGCAGGTCAGAGATGTAGGAGGGGGTAAGTCCGTGGAAGGCCTTGAAAGTGAGGACAAGGATTTTTAATTCTATTCTCTGAGGGATGGAGATGCATTGTCGGAGGTTTCGTCCTTCAGACAAGACGTTAAACTGATGCCCCATCTGAATATAATGATCCCCTGGCACTAATTGAAAAGAAAAGGGAATTTCTTTCTCCTCGTGTCCTGGCCAATAAATCGCCCCCAAAAAAATATCCTGTGAAGTGCTTTGAGACATCTCAACAACTTGATAAGGCGTTATATCAAATGCAAGCATTATTATTAACTCAGTATGGACCTTTGTATGTTAGAGAAGCAGCTTGCCATCAACTGTTTCATCAGAATCTTCCTTGCATTGATATTGTGCTTTATCGTCCCAAAACATCTCAAAGCATTTTCAGTAAAGTGCACTGACTGTATTTGTGTAGGCGAACGCAGCAGCCAATTTATGCACAGCAATGTCCCACCAACAGCCAATAAAGAGAATAACAGTGTTACAACATGTGTTGCCTTTGTCAACTATTACTGTTAGAACAGTATTTCTGTCAGTATACTCTGACTGATAATGTTTTGTACGTTTCGTCTCTGTAGGAAAGCAAGAAACCTCTTTGAGAAAAATGCAGCACCAATTTTACACCTCTCTGGATTTGATGTAAATGTAGTTAAGGTAAGGGCAGGAATTTATATGCCTAAAATAACACTGAGAATGCTAAAACCTGGGAGTGAGGGGCAAGAAACCAAGAGATATTGTATAGAAAATGAGAGATCACCCGATTGAGATTGCATGAGTGAATTCCACAGTTTTGTGTATTGAGCCAAATGCCCCTTATTAATAATAATGATGATAATCATTGCATTTGACGTAGCGCCTTATCACGGTCATTGAGACGTCTCAAAGCTCTTCACAGGATTTGCTGTGAAGTGGATTATATAAATATATATATGCCGTATATTTGTACCCATAAATGTTCTTCTCCAGAATTCTACCATGTCTTAAACTCATCTTAAAATTTAAGTTTGATGGAATAGGCTAAAATTCTTAATTTGGAAGCTAGTTTTCCACCATTTTGAGAAGGAACTTGTTTCCAAATATAGACAATTTAATATTTTTACACAATTCGTAAATTTTAGGACAGAATGGTTTCACAGGTGGAACTTCTGGCCCCTAATTTCATAATGGGTTCACAAATATCAAATTACACTTAGTTGGGAGGATGTCCCAAGGTACTGGACAGTCAGCTGGAGCTGGAGGTTGTGATCAGGAGGGGTGGAGGGTAGGAGGGTGACCAAAGGCCCAATCAAAGAGCTCTTTGCAAGAGCAAGCCCTTGAAGGAGGCAACGGAGGGGATGAAGCGAAGGGGCTAAGCAAAGGGAATTCCAGTGGATGGGGCTGAAGGCCTGACATCAATGGTAGGGCGGGCAAGGCGGAGGACATGGAGCGAGCTAGTGCCTGCAGAGCTACGCGGAGGGAGCGGACAGATGGAGGGAGGGAAAATATGTTTGGGGAAACGGTTTGAAAATATGTTCCTTTAAAAGTGCAGGTCTCCCTCTCCTCAGACTGGAAGTCAGGACTGTTGTGCTTGAAAAGGAGTGCTCTGCTGCAGGGCCTTTGTTTTTTGAAGATTTGCGTTCTGCTGTAAGTGTTGTCGGTGGAGCTCTGTGACTCACCGCTTTATGACGACAATAAATGATGCATTTCTTGTTTTCTTTCAATTCCTGATCGCACTGTTGGATTTCTGATGGGTGAATGCCACCACCTGCAACCTGCTGGCTCACATGTTCCCTCTGGGGCTTCAGCACTGTGCTGAGGATTGTCACTATACGTTTGGGAATCTATGATTCCCCATACAGCAAGTTGCTAAGATCAGCTGAGGCTCTTCACTGGATAGTAAACCAAGCCAGTGTGAAAGAAATGAAACTACTACCTTTCCTCACTAGCATCTCTGTCTATGCTGCCATACTGAAGGTCTTCGCTGTCTCCCTCACTATTGTCCATGTTTGCTGTGAAGGAGCAGCTGACTGACATACATTCTGCTTATTTTCCCCTTGGTTGGTTGAAACAGTGGTTAAAATGATTCTCAATGCCACCATTGTTATGGAAGGAGCGAGTGACACCTCGTATCCCTCTTTGAGTCTGCCTTGGCTTGTGTTACAGACAGACTATGAAGGACAGGCAAAGAAGCTGCTGGAGCTGGTTGAAGACACTGATCTGATCATTGTTGCTGGTGGAGATGGCACTCTGCAGGAGGTAGGAACAGGTGGCAGAACAACTGTTGTGGTTGTGCTTCAAGTGGGGCAGCGTGTGGGTGCTGGGGAAGGGTCCCAGTTCAGCTGATAGGGAATATTTTCATCAGTTTTTTGGTCAGTGTGACGACATGATATGCCAGTACCATACCGTGAAGGAGAAAAAAATCACACAGTGCGGACATACTAGGCTGCCTGTTGTGTGGGTTTGTGCTGAGAAATCTCTGAGCAGGAAGCTGCAGCTGATGTCACTGACGTATAAGAGCAGAGAGTTGACATAAATTCAAATACAGTAAATCCGTCAAGATTTTTCCTAGCACATCTGCACTGAACCAAATTTGAGATTTGAGATGGGTTGTCTGCAGCTGGTGGAATAGAAAGGGATTAGTGCGAGTGGGTTGCGATATTACTGACTGTGTAGCACATGTTTACTGCCTGCCTCTCTCACATTATTAGGTTGTAACAGGACTACTCCGGCGAGCAGATGTGGTAAGCTATGTTCACTTGTCTTCCATCTTTGTGCTGTCACTTTCAACAACAAATCACATTTGAAAAGCACCTTTCATGTCGGAAGGACATCCCAAGGCATTGGACAGTTAAGAGTTTGCACCCAGGCTACAGATTGGAATCGAGAATGTGTGGGGGTGGCACAATCAAAGAGGAAGGTCTAGAGACGGGCCTTGAACGAGGTGAGGGAGGGGGCAAGGCAGAGGGATCCAAGGATGGAGTTCCAAAGGATGGGGGCAGAAAGGCTGAAGGCGGGAATAGCAGGGGATGTGGAACATTCCTGTAACGTTTCTCTGTTGTGCTGTGTCCTCCCATTCCATCCAAATGCTGATTGAGACCCCTGCGTCCCTGACTGACACCCCTCACTCCCACTGACACCCTGACCTTCACTGACATCCTCACCCTCACTCGCCCCGGAGCCCCTCACTCACCCCGGCGCCCCTCACTCACCCCGGCGCCCCTCACTCGCCCCGGCACCCGAGCCTCCCTGGCGCCCCTCACTCGCCCCGGCGCCCCTCACTCGCCCCGGCGCCCCTCACTCACCGCAGCGCCCCTCACTCGCCCCGGCGCCCTTCACTTGCCCCGGCGCCCCTGAGCCTCACCGGCGCCCCTCACTCGCCCCGGCGCCCCTCACTTGCCCCGGCGCCCCTCACTCGCCCCGGCACCCCTGAGCCTCCCCGGCGCCCCTCACTCGGCCCGGCGCCCCTCACTCGCCCCGGCGCCCCTGAGCCTCCCTGGCACCCCTCACTCGCCCCGGCGCCCCTGAGCCTCACTCACACTGACGGTGAGTTTGTTGTGCTTCGACTCCACTTTCTAGAATAACTTCAGCAAAATCCCCATTGGATTCATTCCACTGGGGAACATGAACTCTCTGAGTCAGACACTGTATCCTGCCATTGATGAGAAAACCCGGTGAGTTACTGTCCTGAATTAATAATAATAATAATATGTATAGTCCTGAATGAAGATTCTGTTCTTCAGCAGCCACCTGGTGTGATTCTCAGCTGCTCAAGTGATCTTTATGTGCGCGCAGGGGCCTGTGAATTCTGTGTAGCCTCCCAACAGGAAGCAGGCCAGCCTTTAACAACAATAACAAAATTATATTTGTATAGTGTCTTTCACATCAGGAGGACATCCCAAGGCCCTGGACAGTCAAGAGTTTTGGACCCGAACGGGGGATTGGGATGGGGAGGGCGGGGGGCAGCAGGATGATCGAAGGCAAGGTCGAAGAAGAGGGTCTTGAAAGAGGCAAGGGTGGGGGCAAGGCGGAGGGACTGCGGGATGGAGTTCCAGAAGGTGGGGGCAGCGGGGCAGAAGGCTCGCCTCCAATAGTGGGGCAAGCGAGGTGGGGGACGTGAAGCAGGCCAGAGCCTGCTGAGCGGAGGGAGCGAGCAGGATGGTAGGGGGTTAGGAGGTCGCAGAGTTATTGGGGACCATGAAGGGCTTTGAAGGTGAAGACCAAGATCTTGAACTGTATCCTCTGTGTGATGGGAAGCCAGTGGAGTCGGGCGAGGATGGGGTGATAGGGTCATGGAGCCTGGTATGGGAGAGGACATGGGCATGAGGACATGAGTACTGGATGATCTGCAGGGTATGGAGCGAGGAGAGTTGGAGAGGCCGACAAGCAAGGAGTTTGCATAGTCAAGCCTCGATGTAATGAAAGCATGTATGAGGGTTTCGGCGCCCGGTGTGAGACAATGGCAGAGCTGAGCAATGTTGCGGAGGTGGGGGAAGGCAGAGCGGGTCATGGCACGGATGTGGGGTGGAAAGGATAGATGAGGGTCAAACAAGACACCAAGGCTCCAGACTAGCTTGGTAAGGTGGAGTGTGCAAACGTGCAACCATGGATAGTGATGCTGTCTGCAAAATCCAGGGTCACATTACCTTGTAGTAAACCCTGTGAAGTGCTTTGAGGTGTCCTCCCGACAGTGCTTGTCAAATGCAAGGATTAATATTGAGCGCTAATAAACACCCCATTTTCAGTCACTATCGCATTATTGGTCATTCTCTCCATTTCTGCTTGTTGCAGACACATTGTGCACGCTACACTTGCCATCCTGAAGGGAGAGACTGTTACCTTGGATGTCCTGGAGATTAAGGTGAATAAGTAAACTATTTTATCCTTCATTTCATGCTTCTTACTTAAAAATATTTATTTTGGCCCAATCTTGACCAGAACAAATAGTTACCCATTCTCTATCCCTACCCCTCCTGAGAACTGAGCACAGCATTGTCCCACAAATGACCACTGGTGGATGAACAATTGAAGGATAGTTGGCCAAGACACCTGGAGAAGTTCTTACCTTTTCCAATTGGGCCACAGGATTTTTAACATCCCACGTGGAAAGCACCCCATGTGTGACCTAATGTGTATCCTTGGTACAATGAGCGGTATGATCCAGTGTGAAGCATACAGCAGCGTGTGCAGCAGATCAGGGAGGAGATGATGGGGAGCACATTCATCAAATCTCCAGAATCAGTCAGACCAATTTACAGTGTGAGGTATTAGAACAATGACATTCGCATAATCCTAGTTGACCTATGTGAAACCAGGGATCTTTTTGATCTTGTTCTGCTGATCTGGCACTGGGTTTAAATGGCCACACATCAGGTGTGCTTTGTACCTTTCAACTCACATTTTGGAGCAGAGCAGGGGTGTTCGGACAATAACAGAAGATGCAGAGGGGAGAGTGGTTTGTAGGGCAGTGAGCTGTCGGTGAGTCCTGTTCGCCCTGTTGTTCCTGGCCACATGAAGTGTAACGACTAGTGAAACTCATTGCTTTTCTCATCTTGTTTCAAGGGTGACAAAGAGCAGCCAGTGTTTGCTGTGACTGGCCTCCGGTGGGGAGCATACAGAGACGCGAGTAGCAAACTCAGCAAGTAAGTATACATGTGTTAACGTCTGCGTTAATGTGTTGTGTTAATGGTAAGCTCAAATGTAAATGTGGTTCAAATGGTTGTGCCCTTGTCTGGGGAGCGTGATCTCAGTCCCAGAGTGCTGCTGCTGTGCAGTGTTGAAGAGGGAAATGTACTTCAATGTTCTGTACTTTTTGTCCACTGACATAGACAGAGAGAAGAGAGGCCTGTGCAGATAACATTGTCCAATATTAGTGTGTCCAGCATGCTCATTCCTTTGAACACTTTGTTCATCTCCACTTCATCTCGGCAAATGGTTTCTCCTCTCGCTCCCTTGGAGTCACCTGCGGGGTCCCCAGTGCTCCATCCTTGGCCCTCTTCTTTTCCTCATCTATATGCTCCCGCTGAGCGATGTCATCTGCAGACAGGGGGTAAACCTCCACATGTATGCGGATGACACACAAATCTACTTTGCCTCCTCCAGTACCAACTCCAGGTCCACCAATGTTTTATCACTTGCCTGGTAGACATAAGGGCCTGGATGAGCGTAAACTTCCTATAGTTGAATGTGGAAGATGGAAGCCATATTTCTTGGCTCCCATCAAGGTCTTCACTCCTGCGGATGTAAACTCCACAATCTCCCTGGGCTCTCCCTCAGATGCACTGAACCAGTACGCAATCTAGATACCCCAGTTGTCCTTCCTTACCCACATCCAGTCCTTGACCAGGACCGCCTACCTCTGCCACATTGCCTACCTCCAACTGTACCTTACCCGAAATGCAGCCGAAACCCTCGTGCATGTGTTTTTCACCTCGCGCCTGGATTACTCAAACTCACTCCTCCCCAGCTCCATCATTCAAAAAATCCAGCTCGTTCAGAACTTTGCCGCCTGCATACTGACCCGGACCAAACTCCGTACCCCCATCTCACCAGTTCTGGCCAGGCTCCACTGTCTCCCCATCACCGAACAGATCGACTTCAAGCTCCTCACTCTTGTGTTCAAATTCCTTCACTCCTTGGCACCTCGCCATCTCTCAACCTCCTCACTCCCCAATTCAAAACCTGGTGCCTCCACTCAACTGTCACCGGCCTCCTGCTTGTCCCTTGCACCCTCCGCTCCACCATTGGAGGTTGCGCAATCAATCACTACGCCCTGAATCTCTGGAACACGATCCCTCAATCCCTCCCCCTTGCCTCTTCTCCCAACTTTTCCGGTCATCTCCCACCCCAGCTCGGAGTCAGACTCCACCGTTGTTAAGCATTCTGAGAATCTGCCCTGCATGGAGGGTGCTATATAAGTGCAAGTTGTTGTCATTCAGCTGGGTTTATGTTGTCGATGAGAATGTTGATATTATGGCCTTCACGGAAACCTTCCCCCTCACTGAGGCCACACCACCCGGCTATACCCACTACCATGCCCCAATCGTCGTGGCGGTGGTGTGGCCCTCATCTCCAGGGCGTCACTTGCCCTAACCCCCCACTCCACTGGCTCATTCCCCTCCTTTGAACACCTTACCCTCTGCCATCCCTCCCATCTCTCACTAAAAATTCTCCCAATTTACTGCCCCCCCAAATCCTCCCCCACCTTCATCTCTGACATCTCCACTCTTCTAGCTTCCCTCACTCAAGGGCCAGGTGCGGGCTGCCGAATACACTTGTCTCAAGCACAGCTGGCTGGACCTCATCAAAACCTACCGCTCCACTCTCGCCTCGGCCAAGGCGAAGGGCAACCCCAGGCTCCTGATCTCCACCACCACCCGGCTCCTCTGCCTGCCACGCCTCGCAGATCCTTTCCTCCGACTCTCACTGCGAGAAAATGCTGGACTTCCTCGAGTCCAAAACCTTTGAACCCGTCATCCCCTACTCTATCATCACCACCATATCCTCCATGAAGCCCACTACCTGCTCCCTGGAATCCATCCCCACCCCTCTCAAATTCCAGCTCCACCTCCTTGCCCCACTACTTGCCGACATCATCAACCTCTCCCTGTCATCTGGCACTGTTCCTACCCCCTCAAAACAGCCACTATCACCTCCCCCCCCTTAAAGAAACCTTCCCTTGACCCAACACAGCTATCCAGCTACCGGCCCATCTCCAACCTCGGAAACTGCTCTGGTCAAGGTCACAAGTGACGTCCTGACCATGTGTGACCAGGGCTCCCTCTACCTCCTCGACCTCTCCGCCACTTTTGACACTGGATCATTCAATCCTCCACCACCTCTCCTCCCACCTCAACCTCCAAGGTTCTGTCATTGACTGGTTCAGGTCCTACCTTTCACACCGCCTCAACTTTGACTCAGATAACGGCTTCTCCTCCAGCCCCCGCACCGCCTCGTGCGGTGTTCCTCAGGGCTCTGTCTCGGTCCCCTCCTCTTCACCCTCTACATGCTCCCCCTTGGTGACATCATCCGCAGACATGGGGTAAATTTCCACATGTATACGGTTGACACCCAACTCTATCTCTCTACCTCCACCCTCAACTCCGGGACTACTGGCGTCCTGACCGACTGCCTGTCCGACGTCAAGTCCTGGACGAGGGACAACTTTCTCCTACTCAACATCAGCAAGACCGAGGCCCTCCTGATTGGCTAGCATCAGCGCTTCCGCACCTCGGGCGCTGGCAGCATCAGCTTCCACGGCTGCACACTCAACCTCACTAAGCCAGTCAGGAACCTGGGTGTCTTGTTTGATCCTGAACTGCCCTTTCTCCTCCACATCCACGCCATGACCAGCACTGCCTACCATCACCTCCACAACATTGCCAGACTCCATCACTGCTTCACCCCTCAGGCTGCTTACCCACATATTCGTCACATCAAGGCTCGATTATGGAAATTACCTCTTCATCGAGCTTCCCAACTCTTCCCTTCACAAGCTGCAGATCATCCGAACTCTGCAGCTCATGTACTCTCGCGCACCAGGCTCCGTGACCCCATCACTCCCACCCTCGCCCGACTCCATTGGCTCCCCATCCCTCAGAGGATAGAATTCAAAATCCTCGTCCTCACTTTCAAGGCCATCCATGGCCTTGCCCCCTCCTACCTCTCTGACCTGCCGACTCCCTACCTGCCCTCTCCCTCCGTTTAGCGGGCTCCGGCCTGCTCCATGTCTCCCGCCCGACCCGCCCTACCATCGACGGCCGGGCTTTCAGCCTCTCTGCCCCCACATTCCATCCCACAGACCCTTCGCCTCATTTCCTCCCTTGCCTCCTCCTAGGCCGGTCTCGAGACCCTCCTCTTCAATCATGCCTTTGGTTGCCCTCCCACCTCTCTGCCTTCCCTCACCCCTACCTCACGCCTCCCCCATGCTCGGGTCCTGACCCTTGACTGTCCAGCGCAATGGTACATCCTCCCAACATGAAAGGCGCTCTATAAATATAATTTTGTTGTGTATATGTGTGTGTTTGTGCGTAGTGTGAGTGTCTTTGTGCAACACCTTCGGTCCTAGGCGCTGTTGAGCCGGGATGCTGCTTTTACTGAACACAGGTGATCTAGAGACCATCAGACTTGTGAGATAGCTATTCTTCCTCCCTTTCCATGGTGCAGCTTTGCCTTGTGACTTTGTGTCACTTTGTGCACTGTACCTTTTCACGTCAATCATGCAAAGCAATAGCACATTTTCAATGACATCTCATCGTGATTGAGTGTCTACGGGATCTGTCAAACTGCTGTCCACACCAGCCAGGTGCTGGGTGTTTACAGAGTAGATGTATGGAGTAAATCTCCTCTCTGCCATGAATCCCCTCAGTGTTGATCACACATTTCTCCTTTACCCTTGTGTCTGTCTTGCACTCTGTGCTGCACCATGTAACTGCTGTTTGAATTTTGTCTCATTGCAGGTTTTGGTATCTCGGGCCTCTGAAAGACAAGGCCTGTCACCTGTTCAGTATGTATAAGGTAAGTGGTCATATTCCCTTCTCACCAGAGTGAGGGGTGTTATTGCTGGGAAATACAGGCTGACCAAAACATCGTGACAACTACCCTATTATCTAAAACAAATCATTTCTTTAAGACTTATTAGACAATGTAATGGTATCATGACTTTTTGGTCACCCTGTAGAACGCTTTCCATTTCAGGTACTCTGTGTCAGCATCCTTGTTCTGTCATTTCTATTTTGTAGAATGGCTCATGGGAGAGTAAGTGCTCTTTTCATTCTCCTGGTCAGCTTGGGGCCCCAGAGAAGACAGGCCGGTGTGCAACTGGAGTGAACTGTACCTGGTGACTATTCTGTAACACAATACGTTACCTGGTTTGCATGTTTAGTAAATTGTGGATTCAGAGGAGACCGCATTAAAAGCGGTCCCGGGCTAAAAGCAAACCCGTGCCCCAGAAAGACTCTTTAGAATTGGGTTGCCTTGTAGATGGTTAGCTCCAAATCTTGTTACCCTTTGTGATGTAGGAATGGCCACAAGTTTACCGGGCTTCGCTGGCATACTTGGGCCCCACAGAGAGACCGCCAGAGGAATCTGATGAGAAACCCCCGAGGCCAGGACTGTGGAGGCGGATTTTGAGGAGACTGGAGTTGTACTTCTCATCTCCAAAAGAGGGTGAGATACTTTTAATATAATACACTCGGGGTGGGGGGGGGAAGGGGTTGACTGTATGTGGGACACTGCTGTGCGCACTTGGCTGCCTGTTTTGCCCACAAAACACTCAGTCAATCCATTTTACAGTATTTTGTGAAGCGCTTTGAACCGTCTCAACGATGTGATAAGGTATTTTATCAAATCCATGGATTCTTATTATTATTGGTTGGGTGGTGGTGAAATAATGACACAGGAGAAGGGGGGCGTTCTGGCAGAGGCTGGGCGGCTCTAAATGTGATGAAACCTCGAGGGGAGTTGGGTCCTCGTGTTAACTTCTTTGGTTTTCTGCTACAGATACTCATCTGCTGGATGTCACTCACTGCTTCCCAGGATTCCTGCGCTTAGTTTCAGAGTGACCTCCTTAGGAGACGAGAAGATGGTGGAGCTGGGAATTCTTTAGAAAAGGGGAGAATCTGATTGAAAGAAGTGGATCTCTGGCGAGCGTTAGCTTGTGGTTTACTCTTCCTTCTCTGTTCTGCAGCAGAACAGGTGCCCATGGAGCCAGAGCACTGGGATGAAGTGGAGGCATCTGCAGTTGAAGTGACCATAAGCACACTGAACAAGCAGATGGACCTGACGGTGAGACCTCGCGGGAGCTGGGCTGCCCTTCCTCTCACCTGCTTTGGGTTGCACGACACGGTGTTCAGGCGGGAGGGTTTCATTGGATCGATAAAGTTACCAAAGAGTCCTTCAATGTCACAATCTCGTCCTTTTCATTTGCAAGAATGTGCTTTGTTTCTTAAAACCCAATGTCATTACTTGCTCCACTACCTGTGCTGAAAGCTTGTGTTTTTCTTGAACATTCTGCTGCACTTCCTGGATCGTTTTGTGTCCTTTGCATCATGTGCTGCTTAGCTTTGTATGGAACCAGCAATCTCACTGCTTGTGCCTGTCTCTCCAGCGTACACAAGATGCCATGACTGTTTGTATTGAGCCCGCCACTCTCAGCAAAGAGGAGTTCTTAGCAACAGGGTAAGCATCATTTTTTTCCATGTCTCAAGCTTATCAACCAAGAAACAACAGCTATGCCCTGGGTGAGGCAACAGTAGCAATGCTTGAGCTCCTTTTAATGGTCATAATAATAATCCTTGCATTTGATATAGCGCCTTATCATGTCGTTGAGACGTCTTAAAGCGCTTCACAGAATATATTGTAAAGTGAATTAACTATTTTGTGGCCGAAACACGGCAGCCAGCTGCGTACCTGGCTGTTTGTGAGGCATTTCTGTACACAACTTGTTTTTCGCAACAAGTTTCACTGCGCGAGAAGGCCCAGACAGGGTAATGAGCAGAGTTTATTCTTGATTCTTGACAGGAGTCAGAAGATCTCTGAGCCACACATGTGTCCTGAGGGCAGCCAGATTCTCCAAGCCAGTTGTTGCAGGCTGCAGCTTCCACAGGTGAGGTTGAGGGTTCCTTCAGCATTGCATTGTGGGCTGGGAAACTGCCGCTGGCGGGGCTCATGGTGGAGTTGCCGTGAGTGCAGCCTCCTAAACCAGCAGTGTTAAGTGGCAGCCTGATGTATGATCGTACAGGAGTAGGTGTGACCTTCAACAGACAGTTAGCAGTCAGTGTCTGTGAATGGCTCTGTTGGTTAATCACTCCGAGATGCTACCCTATATAAAGGCCGTTATACAAACGTTGTTGGTCAGAGATTACGAGCATTTATAAGACTGGGTGTGTTATACTCCCAGCTCAGGTGCCTCTTGCTGAGATCTCATGATATGGCAGTACTATGACTTTCATTGCTGCTCCGTGGATTAAAGTGAGCACCTGGGAGTAAGCTTGCACATGGCTCCTTTCCAGCTCAATGCCTTGGAAGGTCTGAAGTCCCTTCTTTTTGGAGAACCTCCCTTCTCTTTTTGAATAGTGTCATGGGATCTTTAAAGACACCTGAACAGGCAGATAGGACCTCAGTAACCTTCTCATCTGAAGGACAGCTCATCCAAAGGATGCCACATCCAGTATTGTAGGGCCACCTCAGTGTCACATTGCAGTGTAACATTGAAACTATGAGCTCGAAGTCCCAATCTGGCTTGAACCCACAACATTGTAACTTGGAGGCAAGAGTACGGCCAAACAAGCCAGGATTCCCCAATGTAGATTTCAGTGGAAACTCATTCAGGAGGTCAGTAAATGAACTCTGGAATTTGGTCCACTACAGTGAGTTGCCCCCTCTGGTGAGGTCATATTTCTGGATTACATTTATTATTGAAATAAAACACCTGGAAAAACTAACCACATTATTCCTGGTGATAATGTTGGTGAGGTGAATTTCCACTGTATTCTCTGCAACTGAGCTAATAATAATAAATCTTGCATTTAACATAGCACCATATTACCCTGTTGAGGCATCATAAAACGTTTCACAGAAGATACTGTAAAGTGGATTGACTGTGTATTTTGCATACAGCAATGTCCCACAAACAGCCATGGAGTGACCAATTTTTCTTTGGGGGGACACCAGGAGAAACTGCCTTCTCTTTTTGAATAGTGCCATGGGATCCACCTGAACAAACAGGCGGGACCTCGGTTTAACATTTCATTCAAAGAACGGACTAAGAAGTTCCCTGAGAGTTGTTTTAATCCACGTCCTGCAGAGTGTTGTGTCAGCCTCAAACAGAATTGTTGACTGATCCCTTGTGTCTCCTCAGGGAACAGAAGGCTTCTTTAGCATAGATAACGAGGATTATGAGGCCATGTCCGTGGACGTGAAGCTGCTGCCACGTAAACTCCGATTCTTCTGCGATTCCATCAAAAAGCAACAGATGCAACGATAGTTCCAGGTGCCGAGCCTGATCTGTATTAGTGTCCAAACCGTAGGTTGCTGTCAGTCGAATTTAAAGCTTTCAACATGAAATGGAGTGTTTTATTCTCGTATACGCAGCCTTTCAATATAATGATCAGAGTTGGGTTTCACCCTGTTAATGTATGGAAATGATGCAGTGGGGGAAGAATGAGCCCTGCCCACTCATTTTCCACCTTGGTGCTTTCCTGCCCACATTGCCATCGTCCCTGCCTGGTTCGTGGGCTTGCCTCTGCAGCAGGTCTGAAAGCAGAAAATAACAAGAGCATTGTGAGATTCCCAGTACGTTCAGAAATTGTGCTTACTGCTCCTGAACATTCCCTGTCCACAGCACTGAATCCCACACACTACACATTAAATGACTGTGCAATTGGTGATTCAGTCTCATACTGAGTTACACCAGACTTTCCACAGGAGGTGAAATAGATCTATTTTAACATGTCATTGAGATGCCTCAAAGCGCTTCACAGAATATACTGGAATGTATATTTTGTGGTCAATGTTCTTGTAAATGAGATAACTGTAACTTGCGTGTGCCTGATATGTATGTCTCCATGGTTTAAACCCTTCAGAATGAGTTGATGCACGTGCACAAAAAGGAAAAAGAAACTGCTCGGCATTAAAATTACTGTGGTAATGAAACCTCTAAAACGTGTGAAAGATGCTTTATTGTATTCAAGCTGTAACGGAATTTCTCTTTGATCATGTGCAAAGGGACAACAGCTTCTGACTTATCACAGCACAACACTAAATGTATTTAACTAGGATGATACCGACTTGCCTCCTTACATTATCTGCTGAATTGATGAAATGTGCAACTGCAGTAAAATGTTCTGTGCTTCCTCCATGTGATGATGTGGACTGCAAAATCACTACGTTTTGCTCCCTTTCGCATCTCCAGTGATGCCAAAGAATTTACAGTTTGGACACAGCAACGTAACATAGGAACAGAAGGGAGTCATTCAGCCCTTCGAGCCTGTTCGCCATTAATTAGATCATGGCTGATTTGTACCTCAACTAATCTTTTCAATTCCAATTTCCCGCTTTCTCCCCATATCCCTGAATATCCTGACCTACCAAAAATCTATCAACCTCACTCTTGAAGGTGTGGATGGATCCTTTTGGGGGAGAGAATTCCAGATTTCTACCACCCTTTGAGCAACAAAATACTTCCTGATTCACTCTTGAATGGCCTGGTTCTAATTTTAAGACTATGCCCCCTTGTTTTGGATTCCCCCACCAGAGGAAATAGCGTCTATCTATTCTATCAAATACCTCAATCAAATCACCCCGCAACCTTCTAAACTCAAGGGAATACACTCCAAGTTGACGTAGTCTTTCCTCGTAACAACCCTTTTAGGTCTGGTAACATTCATAATATGTGTTAAAATTCCGCGATATTGATGACCAGTTAAAACAGACTGTATACTGAGGTGTCAGTCATTCGCCTTTGAGTGAGCAGAGTGAAGGAGCCGTCATGCTACAATTAAGCCACTTCCTGATTAATCAGAGCGATGTAGCCACTAATGTGCATTCAAACAGCTGAATTGTGAAGGAATATTTTTATTGCAGGCTATGTGCAGTTAAGAGATTTACTATCTCAAATAAGTAGGCCTGCAGGCAGGATTTAAAAACCGAGGGAAGGGATAAGGAGTGATATTGGGAGAGTTCCAGAGAGAGGGAGCAGTGGCTAAAGGCTTACATGATGGTGAGGCAGTGGGCAGGGAGCATGAAGCAGACTGAATTGGCAAGGCAAAGGGTGGAGGACCACAGGAGGTTTCAGAGATTGTGTGGTGTATAGGTACAAGGGTATTTGAAAGCAAGGAAAAAGATCTAAAAGTTGATCCAATTGGGGATCAGAGCCATACAAAGATAAGGTGAAAATTGTGAGGAAGATACAGACTGGTCTGGAGTTTGTGGAAGGTGGAACTGCAGAGGTCAGCAAGCAGGGTGTTGGGGATGGGTGGGGAGAGAAAGGAAATTAAAGAATGAGTTTCACAATCCACAAAAGTTAAGAATGTTACCCTAGTTCCTAGATTGTCAGGTTATTATATGCTTGTTGCATAATAATAATACACCTTACATTTGATATAGCACCTTATCACATCATTGAGATGTCTCAAAACTCTTCACAGAATACTGTATATTGTAAAGTGGATTGAATGTGCATTTATGGGCAAAATGCGACAGCCAATTGTGCACAGCAGGGTCTCACAAACAGGGAGAGGGATTATTACTCTATCGACCAACAGCCAGATTCCTACTTACTGCTAGGTAAACGGAGGTGCGTGGAGTAAGGAAACTTGTCTAAGGCTACTTCCTTTGTCAACAACAACAACAACTTGCATTTATATAGTACCATCCACACAGGGTAGCTTAGCAGTGGCAGAGCCTGACTCCGAACTGGGGAGGGACTATAAGACAGGATTTGAAAAAGGGGAGAGAGGGGGCAAGGCGGAGGGATTGAGGGAGAGTGTTCCAGAGTTTCAGGGAGTAGTGGTTGAAAGCGCAACCTCCCATGGTGGAGCCAAGGGTGCGAGGGACAGGCAGGTGCCAGTCGAGCGGAGGTGCTGGGTGGTGGATTGGGGAGGGTGGTGGTCAGAGAGATAGGGAGGTGCCAGGGAGTGGAGGGATTTGAACACGAGTATGAGGATCTTGAAGTTGATCTGTTCGGTGATGGGAAGCCAGTGGAGCCCGGCCAGAACTGGTGAGATGGCGGAACAGAATTTGGAATAATCGAGTAACAGAGTATGCGGGCAGCAGAGTTCTGAATGAGCTGAATGTTTTGAATTGTGGAGCTGGGAGACCAGCGAGGAGTGGTTTGAGTAATCCGGGAGGGAGGTGACAAATGCACGCACAAAGGTTTCAGCTGCATTTGGGGTAAGGTACTGTTGGAGGTGGGCAATGTGGTGGAGGTGGAGGAAGGCGGTCTTGGTCAGGGACCGGATGTGGGGGAGGAAGGACAGCTGGGGGTAGAACCGGATGCCTAGATTACGTACTGGTTCGTTGAGTCTGAGGGAGAACCCAGGAAGGTTGAGGAGTTCAGATCCGCAGGAGTGAAGACATTGACGGGAGCCATGGAGAATGGCTTCTGTCTTCTCCACATTCAGCTGTAGGAAGTTTGCACTCATTCAGGCCCTGATATCTGCCAGACAAGCTGATAGACCATCAGTGGCCCTGGAGTTGGTACTGGAAGAGGCAAAGTAGATCAGTTGCATACATGTGGAAGTTTACCCCGTGTCTGCGGATGACATCGCCCAGGGGGAGCATATAGATAAGTAAAAGAAGAGGGCCAAGGATGGAGCCCTGGGGTATCCCGCAAGTGGCCGGGCGGGGGAGGGAGGAGAAACCATTTGCTGAGATGAAATGGAGGCGGTTGGTTCAGTAGGACTCAAACCATGCGAGTGCGGTCCCCCGAAGGGAGGGAGGAGAGGCGGTGGAGGAGGATGGTGCGGCAGTGAGATCCAGGAGGACGAGGAGGCAGAGGGAGCCCTGGTCACAGATAGAGACGATATCGTTTGTGACATTGACAAGTGTTGTCTCTGTGCTGTGGACAGGGCGAAAACCAGACTGCAGGGGCTCGAGGAGTCAGAAGTGTGATCAAAGTTGACCTGCAACAGTGCATTCCAGGGCTTTGGCAAGAAAGGGTAGGTTGCAACTGGGATGGTAGTATGAGAGGTTAGAGGGATCGAGGCTGAGTTTTTTGAGGAGGGGCGTGATGACAGCAGTTTTGGAATTATCATGAATAGGCTGTTTCTACTGGTTAAGGATTCTGTAATCAAAGGACACAAACATAAAATAGTGACCAGGGGATCAAAAAGAGAAACAACTTCAGGCAATGGATTGTGAGATTGTGGAACTCATTGCCTAAAGCAGTGGTTGAATCAGATATTGTAGATGCATTCAAGAGGAAGCTGGACCTTCACATAAGAGAGAAGAATAGAAGAGTACGGGAAGGAGTAAAGGAATGGGTGGAGACTCATGTGGTTCAGTAAACACCAGCAATGGACAGGTTGGGCTGAGTGGACTGTTTGTGCTGTACATTCTTTGTAAATAAACAATTAAGATGTAACACATAGGCAAACTTGTTCCTCAAAATAGGAATATGTGCCTGTTTTCATGCTTTAAATCTATCTATGCAGTGTTCAACATTTAAGCTAACACATGCTGGTGAGGACAAACAATATTTCAGGCAGAGGCACAAGGCTTACATTGCAACCCAGAAGCATGGCTTCTTACAGCTCAGAGGGACAGGTTCCATTGTTTACTTGCTTCAACAATCTTACTTTGTGTAGTTCAGGAAAAGGAAACAATTAGCTTCATAGTAAGATATCTTATATACATAAAGACAAAATGTCTGTCTTTCTGCCAAGAACCCAATAATTGATTAACATTGAGACATGATTTATACCTCATAGGAAAGGTCTTTCATGGGGGAGTGTCATGGGCATATATATTTTCAGGGATCTCCTATCGCTGATGAACTATATTAAAACAAATTAAAAATTAAGCCCCCAAAAAGGTACGCATGGTATTCTGCAGCAAAGTAGCGATAGACATCACACTAGAAAGATACATCTATACTAATAAAGACAAAATGTTTGTCTGTGTCACAAGTCCTCCCAAAAAGATATGTGTGCAAATATGTGAACAAGGGATGCTAACGGGTTCAATAGCACATTTTCTTAATCTTAAGGGATAAAGAGGCCTAAGAAGCAAAGATCAAGCCTTTCAAGGACATACATATGCCAGACGAAAGTGAGAAGGTCAATTAAATGAAACTGGTTGCATAGCTGCAATGGGTACAGTTAGATACTTATATATCATAGCACCTTATCACATTGAGATGTCTCAAAGCAACTCATGTGAATTTGTTTAGTGGAGAAGTTGCTGCCAACATAGCAACCACCTTCTTAGATAGCAAGCATTGTAACCTGGTGTTAAGGAATATCCGAGAAGACCAAAACACTTGCCAACTGCACTGACAGAAACCATTACCCCCAGAAAGTGATCTGCCAATCGACTAATTGACTTACTGCTAGGTAAACAGAGGTATGTGGAGTAAGGAAATATGCCTAAAGTTTGGCCCCAGGAATCAAACCCAGGTCCTCTCATCTGCAAGATGAGCACACTAACCATCATGCTACAGGACTTCTCACCCACCATGAATACCAATATTTTATAAATATACAGCACCTGATGCTCCCCTCCAGGTACCTCCCACAGGGTTACTGAATTAGAGTAAGAAGCCCAAAGGTCCCATCCCCCACCGGACATACCAGATATCATGGCTGTTACTTTGAGTGAAGTCATCTGTTTCAGTGCAGACCAGGGATCCAAATTGGTCCTTCCTGGTTCAAGTGTTCTCTCATTGAGGTATGTGGGAAGCCCAAACATCTTGATTCGTCCATAATAGAGCATTCGTGCCATACATGAATTTCTATGCATTATTTCTTCGAGTATTTGCAGATCAGATGCTGAAAGGATTTTCCACACTGATCCCATTCCTCATTTCGTTGTTGCATTCTGGGCTCTCATCTTCACTTCCCCAAGGAAGTGCTCAGTGATCTGTTGGGGGAAAGAGGTTGACAGAAAAGCATTAAGTGAAGTAGAAAGTTTACACAAACAGCTATTCCAATTTGGGATATTTAAGTTAGGTGTCTCACCTCTGCCTGACTTCACAGGTAACATTGGGCTCCAAAGCACAACTGGATTCCTGAATTGAGGAAACAGGAAATATGTCATGCAGACTCACAGGGAAGTCTTTAGACACAATCTCTTTTGGAGCGAAATTCGCACTGGTTGATATCTATGCCCAAAATGAGCCTTTAGCAAGAAATTCCATCAGAAATAGCCATACTTTAGATCCGACTATCTATAGAGTGTCTGAGAAAGTTTCGGAATAGAGTCAAGTAAGTGGCTGACTGATCCCGCTGCGTCTCTCAGGGTACGGAAGGCTTCCTCAGCACTCACTCCTCCTTAATATTCTGCATTGTTGGTGTTAACAACACCGAAGCCAATACCTGACATTTAACTGTGCTGTGTATTTTGAGATGCACTAAACTGAGATTATCAGTACCCCTTACACAGGAGATTAAAAACACCTGTCTATACTCTGGCATTCAGTATTCTTGGAAACGAGACTTACTTGTGTGCGAATGTACATTCCTTACCTCTTAAGGATTGCATCTGCTTCAGAGGATCGAGTTCAAGATCCTGGTCTTCATCTACAAACCCCTCCATGGCCTCACCCCACCCTGCCTCTGCAACCTCCTAACCCCCTACTAACCCACCCATTCCCTCCGCTCAGCCAGCTCTGGCCTGCTCCATATTCCCTGACCTACCTGCCCCACCATTGGCGGGAGAGCCTTCAGCCACTCTGCCCCCAACCTTTGGAATTCCATCCTCCAGTCATTCCGCCTCACCCCCTCCTTAGCCTCCTTCAAGTCACGCCTCAAGACCCTCCTCTTTCACCAAGCCATTGGTCACCCCCCTTCCCCTCCCCTTCTTTCTCCCCCCCGACCCCAGCTCGGGTCTGAAATGCTGTATTCTGTCCAGCGCCTTGGGACGTCCTCCTGACGTCTTGTAATCTTGTTGTTGTTGTTTCTCACCCTTCAAAAGGTGTGTGTGTGTGTGCACAACTTTTAAATTGTGCTGGTGTAACTTTCAAGTCCTTTAACTTTTGCAAGAAAAAAATTCTAAAACATTTTAAATATGAATTTATTGGATTTTGGTTTAACCAGCAGGATTTCTCAAAGACAAAGGACAAATGGGCAACAGCTTCTGACAAACATAGGACTAAAATAAATAGAATTTTCTTAAATTATGTGGAATGATCCCAGTGGTCTTAGAAGGGCAGAGTTAAGCCTCAGCAGGCAGTTAAGGACAGTTGCCTTTGAAGGGCATAATCTTTATATATTGTGGTCTTTTATAGTCTCTATTCAAACCTATATTCAATCCCCGCTGCTCATCATTTGTAAATGTAATTGCTGTGTTTGAATCCTGCCAGGTACTGAGTGAAACTTTCCTCAGTAAATCAGAAGCTGAACGATCCATCCCAGAGGATTGCCAGTTCCCTCCCTTCAATAATTGGCTGTATTACAATGGTCTACTATAGGAAAGTCATGCTTAGTGTTTGAAGGTGAGTCCAGTTCCCAGATAAATACAGTAGAAACTGCCTCCTCTTTCCTCCCTCTCCAACAAATTGGCATAAGAGTATGTTATATTCAACCTACAGTATTTTTTTTAACAAGTTTACAAACGTCCACAGGTTTTGCTTTTTTCTCTCCACCTCCCATCTATATGCGATTTCATTCAGTCTGTGGTAACACGGACCACAGGACACATTCTGATCTCTCTTTCTCCACCCACCAGCCCAGGACATTTCACCAGTTAAAGTCTTCAATGATGACAGAAGCCCAAGGAAATAGGGATCAGATGTCAGCCTGGTGTCAGTCACGATATTCTTTCTCCGAGTTACTTCAGCTTCGCAGTGAATACAGCGGAGGAACAGCCTCCCTGGAATTTACCCACTTTGTTGTTAATTGGGCCGGCACAGCCACTGAGCTGCGTTCAACAGGAGCTTATTTCTTCTGAAGGAATTTCATTTTACTGCCTGCAGGCAAAACAACAAAAATACAGAACTGGATCCACATCTGAATATATTCAACAATCCTAAATTAAAGAATAAACAACCCTAAATCCCAAGACCTTCTCTTTGACCACCCTTGACTGTCCAACAACTCAGGACATCCTTCCAATATGAAAGGCGCTATATAAAAAATATACCACAAAAATGACAAGAGAGGGTTAGACAAAGTTTAAATTGCCAGAACCTAAGCTGCAATGGCAGAAGCATTATCTTGTCTTACCAAGGCCTCGGAGGAATCTGTTCATCCCTCCTTGTTCACTTCCCGGGAGGGAGTCAAGGTAGTCCTGTGCACGAACCTCAAATAGCCCTATGGATGAGAACAAAGTGTTATTTACTCATCTGGCAGAGTCTAATAATTGGGACATTCACTGATTTTTTGGCCAGCCAGGTATCTGACACGTGGAAACCCATCACCATGCATATGAATATCCAAACCACACAGAGAATTCCATGAATCTCAATGACACATGGAAATTCCAGAGAGATTGTTGGAATGGAATGCGCACTTTCTCCCTGGAGGGACACATCCTGCTTACTTAATTCTGGCAAGTATTAGGCACTGGTTGGTAAGAGCCAAGACATGAGGATCACAGAGTGTGTGTTGGGGTACTGGTCAGGTCTAACCAGCTAAAATCACATAGTTTGCCATCGATAGCACTATCTGGTAAGCTTTCCCGCTGCTTGTCCCTACCCATTAGGGCTTTGGCTTGCAGGGTTAACGTGAGCTGAGCGGGAGGATTCCTGACCCCAGTGATGGTCTGCCCTACCAGGTCTTGCCAATGAGCCAGGCTGGATGTGCTGTCAACAGCGGTGCCCTGGAATACTGTGAACCCATCCGTCTCAGGAACCAGACTACCGAGATTGCCACAGAGGGCTGGCTCGATTCCAACATTCTGTTGCCAAATATATCACCTTGGAGCCAGGTCAGCGCCAAGGAGACCCTGTTCTGCGCCCCACCAGAAGATTGTCACTAATTGGTCATTTGACATCTGACAAGTGTAGGTTGGAGCCCTCACTAGGTGGATGGTAGGTACCAGGAACTCCCTGAGAGCTTCCTTGTGGGCATCACAGCTCAGCATGAAATGTGTGAGAGCATTACCACTGTCTTCCGACCCACAGCTTGGGTAGACATCCCTTCCCATTGAGCAATGGTTCCACCAATCGGAGGTGTGGAATTTAAGCAGCAGCTGCCTGCTTCTCTGCAGGTAGTCGAGCTGGATTCCAGGCGATGGACGTACAAACATGTGTTCACAAACTCAGGACTCCAAATAACGCCTTCTAGCAGCTGTCATCCCAAGCCTCAGAGTTTCCTTATCAGCTCTTTGGCGGGCATCTGCCTTCAGCGCAGTGGGAGGACCTTTACAGGTCAGCTTGTGAGGTTCCAGCCACCTCGATGTTCTTGAGGCCCAATAACGCGTACAGGCTTATTCAGTGCCAGCTGCTTAATCCAGCTCTTCATGCGAAGGTCCTTGGCAAATAGACATGCCTGCTGTAAAGCCACCACCGCCTCCAGGGTTCTTAGTAACAGGTCAGTGTGGGCCAGTGCCCTCCCTCCCTATAGCCACTTCCCATATTTGCCACAAATCCACCTCACTGCTTGATCCTGGACTTTACGGAAAAAGCCTATTCACTGTTTCTCCAGGAGATCAGATACTTGTAGGAGACTGTTTGCACACAGGTTTGCACTCAAGCAGAGAGCCCAGGAGCATGAGGAGGCAACAGATTGAGGAGGAACAGAGTGAGAATTCTGTTTGGTAATTAGGTGAGAGTGGGAATTCGGTGCAGGTGAGAACTTGTAAAGAAGAAACAAACCACCAAGAGCCTGCACAAAAGGTCACATTCCTGTGGTGGTAGGTGTTGAGTAGGCGTTCAATATATAAGGAGTGTGAGCAAGGGAATAAAAGGTGTGAAATTACTTGTTTTTACCTATTTACACCAAAACTGTTGATATATATTACAAAACATGTCCGAAAACCTGGCAGGGCAGCTGAGACCCATTCCAACCACATTGTGTGCCATGTGGGAACTCCAGGATGGTTCATGTGTTCTGGACAAACATGTGTGGAGGAAGTGCCTCCTGCTGCTTGAGCTTGAATTCAGGGTCGCTGAGCCTGAGGAGAGGCTACAATCACTACATAGGATACAGGAGGCTGAAGAATTTATGGATTGAACTTTTCAGGAGGTGGTCACCCCTCAGCCACAGAGTGTTCAGGAGGTGGTCACCCCACAGCCACAGAGAGTTCAGGAGGTGGTCACCCCACAGCCACAGAGAGTTCAGGAGGTGGTCACCCCAGCTACAGAGGGCTCAGAAGAAGGGTGAGTGGGTGACCATCCGATGCAGAGCAAAAAAAGAACAGGCAGTACAGAAATCCTGTAAGAGTGTGACACTCACAAACCGGTTCTCAGTACTGATGACGCCTCTGGCGAGAAGAGTCAAAAGGTAATAGATGTTCAGGGGGCCAAGGGGAAAAACGCCAACCCTGTTGTTATCGGGGATACAACAATTAAAGGGATAGACAGACAGGACTTGTGCCTGGTATGCTGGTATGCTGCCTCCCTGGGGCCAGGGTGCATGACGTCACGGAACGGGTGCAAAATATATTACAGGGGGAAGTGAAAATCCGTTAGAGAGCAAACGAACAATGGGTAAGACAGCAAACGAACAATGCCTTTAAGGAAGAAATAGTTCGGGCACAGAGTAAATACATTTCCATATAGGGGAAAGGTAGGACAGTCAAACCTCCCTGGATGACTAAGGAAATTGGGTTTAAAATAAAACAAAAAAGGAGGCTTATGACAATGGTCAGGTCCAAAACACACAAGATAATCAAAGGGAATATAGGAAGTACAGAGGAGAAGTGAAAAGGGAAATAAGAAGGATGAAGAGATTGTACAAGAAAAGATTAGCAGGAAATATAAAAAGGAACCCTAAGGTATTTTATAAGCATATCAAGAGTAACAGGTTAGTTAAAGGTATGGTGGGTCCAATTAGGGACCCAAGTGGAAATCTTCTTGTCGAGGCAGAGGGCATGGCTGATGTACTAAATAAGTACTTTGCAACTGTCTTCACAAAAGACAATGACCAATGCCACAATATCACAGGCGTGTGAACATAAATTGGATACGATAAAAATCAACAGAGAGGAGATACTAAAAAGGCTGTCAGTGCTTAACATAGATAAGTCACCTGATCCGGACGGGATGCATCCTAGGTTACTGAGGGAAATAAGGGTGGAAACACCGGAGGCTCTGGCCACAATCTTTCAATCCTCTTTGGACACTGGAGTGGTGCCAGAGGACTGGAGGGTTGCAAATGTTACTCTCCTGTACAAAAAGGGGCAGAAGGATAAACCTGAGAACTACAGGCCAATCAGCCTAACATCAGTAGTAGAGAAACTTCTGGAGACTATAATCCAGGACAATATAAATTCTCACTTAGAAAATATGGTTTAATAAAGGACAGTCAACACGGATTTGTTAAAGGCAGATCATGTCTGACAAACCTAATAGAATTTTTTGATGAAGTGACTGAGAGGGTGGATGAAGGTAGTGCAGTAGACATAGTTTATCTAGATTTTCAAAAGGCATTTGACAAAGAGACTTATAAACAAAATAGAACCCCATGGTATTAAAGGGACTGTGGCAACATGGATCCAGAACTGGCCGGGAGACAGAAAGCACAGAGTGGTAGTAATTGGTTGCTTTTCTGACTGGAGGGAGGTATGTAGTGGTGTCTCTCAGGGGTCGGTATTGGGACCACTGCTCTTTCTGATCTATATTAATGATCTGGACCTGGATATAGGGAACACAATTTCCAAATTTACAGACGATGCTAAGCTAGGACAGGTAGATAAAGCTGTTAAAAAAGCATACAGGATACTAGGTTTTATAAATATGGGCAGAGTTCAAAAGTCAGGAGGTTATGTTGAATATTTATAAAATGCTGGTTTGGCCTCAGTTGGAGTACTGTGTTCAGTTCTGAGCACCGCACTTTAGGAAAGATGTTAGGGCATTGGAGAGGGTGCAAAGGAGGTTTACCAGGATGGTACCAGGAATGAAGGACCTTAGTTATGAGGAGAGGTTAGCAAAACTAGGATTATTCTCCCTCGAGCAGAGAAGATTAAGAGGGGATTTAATAGAGGTTTTTGAGATCATGAGAGGATTTGATAGGTTGAACCGGGAAAAACTGTTTCCACTGTCTTGTGGGTCAGTAACCCGAGGATACCGATTTAAGTTAGTTGTTAAAAGAAACAGAGGGGAGGTTAGGAACANTTTTTTTACCCAGTGAGTTGTTCGGAACTGGAATGCATTACCTGAAAGGGTAGTGGAAGCCGATTCAATAACAACTTTTAAGAGAGAAGTAGATGAGTATTTGGGGAGGATAAGATTGCAGGGCTATGGAGAGAAAGCGGGCCAGTGGGATTGAGTTGGATTGCTCTTTTTAGGAGCTGGCGCAGACACAATGGACTGAATGACCTCTTTCTGTGCTGTATGATTCTATGAGGTCTTGTAAGCCACAAGCTTGACCTGCATTGGGACCTTGCTGTCCTTGAAGAGGGACGAGCATGACCAGAGTGCCCTTCGCCCCTTCTCAGCGCAGTCCTTCGGGTCCACCACGACCCTGAGGTACCAACGAGAATCAACAATTGGGACTGATGCCCCTTGTATGTTGCAATCAATTCCCTCAATGCCTGAACTGGACTTCAGCCCATAGCCATGTCCTTACCTTTAATTCCAAGTTTTCTCATCTCTCGTTCCTGAACGAATCCCCTGAACATCTGGGTCTCCATGAAGATTTCCAGGAAGCGGCGGAGGCTTTTAGATCTGACAGATTTGCGGAATGCCTCCCATAAGAAGCTCCTCTCCTCTTTCTCATTGTAAGTCATGTATAGTGAGTAGTGACCCACCACCTCCACAAAGAAACGAACAAAAGCCTCAGATACCACCATGTCGAGGAAAGCAGACCCTGGAGAAGAGGATAAAAGACTCAGTGTGCGTTTCCTCCTTTGGGACTGTACCGCTCTCACTATTCCTCCACAATCACCTTATCTGAAGGGTTCTAAGCTCCTCTTTCCCAGTCAGTGGCACAACATTTCACTTTCTCACCTCGTGAAGAGCCACATGCCCTGCCTGGAATCTTTGTCATGAGTGACCACAAAGACTTGGCATCATCAAACAATTGAGCTTTCAAACTCCTAGTTTCATTTTTTGGTCTAATGTTGATTGTGCATTGCAGAGATACCCCTGTTCTTGGTCTCCTGTTGGTTTTGCTCCTGGCTTTGAGCAGTTTTTCTGGCCCCGGATGTGGTGGCAGCACTTACTGTCCAGAGGACCCTCCTCTTCTTCCTGATTGGCTAACTCATTTCGTTGCTCAAGGACTTGTTCGAGTGCTACCTGCAGCTTCCGTGGTAGAATGCAGTCTTCGTCATCCACCTAATGCAAAGAACAGAGACTGTGAGAGGCAGAGAGCACCCAGAATGTGTCCACCACATCCAAATACAATGAGACTGTGCCAATGACATTGGGGTTCAAGAGGATGAGGTCAGGGCCGCTGGAAGGGGTATTGGAAAGATGCCAGGGTAACAACCGGCATCTTTATAGCAGGATGATTTGGGTCTGATTTGGCCAAGTAGACGGAGTAAGCAGAATTGTGGGGTTAGAGAAGATCACGTAAATGGGGAGTTTCTTGGGTGTGAAGAGGTTTATAGATGAGGATCTCAAAGTCGATCTACTGAGTGACAGGGAGGCAGTGAAGCTTGGTGAGGACTGGGATGACAGGCATCTGGAGTTTGGAGCAGGTGAGGTGAGGTGGTGTGAAAGCTGTGAATGAGAGGGTTTCAGCAGCGTTTGGTGGGAGGCAAAGTAGATCTGTCACCCGCAGAAGTGGGTTAACTTCCATGTAATGGGAGTAAATTGAGCAGTTAATCTAATTATCAGGAGTGACAGGCTCACTGTGAGCAGGCAACATTTGAAAATGGTGCAAATTTCCTCCACATAGCATCCAACTTACCAGAGTATTTTACTGCAGGGCTGAGCTACACTGATCACAATATGGAAGATGTAGAGAAAAGGGACCCACCTGCCGGAAGAATTTGTTTGCTCCCAGATTAAGTACCAGCACCTGCAAGGATGAAGAGAAGCCGGTCATTTCCTGACATTTCTTTCAGGTGGTGGTCTTCAGATGAGACATTAATATCAAGGTCCCAACTATCCATTCAGGTGAACATTGAAGATTCTACTGTACTTTTCCAAATGAGAAGAGTTCTCCACTCCCGGTGTCTTAGCTAAATTGCTTGTTTACTCCATGGCTGTGGGATTTACTACACATGAATTGTCAACAAATACATAGTCACTACACTTGACAGCAATTACTATGACGTTTTTTAATGTGAAAGGTGCATAATAGTTATAATCCTTGCATATCAAAGGTAAGGATTATAACTATTAAATCTCATCAAAAAACTGTTAGTTCATGCACTCACCCATTGTGTGGAGTAAGCTGCACTGATATAGGTATCTCCCTCCAGGGAGGAAGGAGAACACAATCCACGGATCCTTTACCTGATTGTTCTCCACTCAACTCCACACCCCCTCCCCTCCCTATTCATGTGTGTCGGACAACATGTAATACTCAGAAGTTACAAACCCACTGATCTTCACAAGTTCAGGAATGAAAAATAGCCTTACCTCCTCGATGGGCAGATCTCGTAGCTTGGGTAGAGAACTAGAGAGTAGTCCTATCAGGAATGGTGTGGGAGAGCAGACTATGTCGATCATGGATGGAGGCAGCACTGGGATGTAGGTGTGCTGCCAGGTGAAGGGGTAGAGCAGAGCTACAACTGCATGACAGCACTGGGAAAGGGTGCTGGAAGAGAGAGACAATTAACATTCGGAACCTGTGAATAATAGATCTCAACAATAACAACTTACATTACGCAGGGTTGCATCCCCTGGTAAGCTCGCACCCAGGCACTTCAGGGAGCGTTGTACGCAGGCACTCCTGGGAACGTACGATCACAGGAAGATCTCATGCAGACAGACACTCCAAAGAACATAATATGTTCAACTCTTGGAAAAATCACACACAAATACTCCTAGGAACATGGTACACATGCTTAGGTATAATGTTCCAGTTCACAGTCACGATTGTTGGAAGCTGACCTGAGTCTATCGGCAGTGAAGATCACCCTCCTCTCCAGCAGCAGAGACGCAAACACCTTAATCAGCTGACGAACGCTCAAACATGAGAAGAGGCAATGGAAATCCACGTGCTCCAGCCGGGAATCCAGGGGCCGGCACAAGTGAATCACCTGCCAAAGTGAGCAAATGTCAGTTTAATAATCAGCTAATTTCAGCCCAAGTAGCTAAAGCATTGGAGCACTGTGAAGATACAAATATCTTCTCAAGTATTATACGTCTTCTCAAGGGAATAGAGGAGTTTAGGAGAGGGGGTTCACGGATTGGAGTCTCTTGCGGAGTATAAACACCATGTGCCGATTGGTTGAGACGAATGGCTTGGTTCTGTGTGTAATTTTCTAAGTAATTTAAAGCAAAAATACCCTCATGAAGCTCAGGCATCTTTACATTAAAGGTCAAACCTCTGTTTTGGAGCCCACCTGGAGCAGTGTTCCACTCTAGTTACTGTGTGACAGTTTAGATATCTTAGCATAAGAAATGCTTTGCCTCAAATTTACATTCAGCTGAAAGTATCTTTTTTTCATTTAATTTCATTGTTGAAAGCAGAATATTGCCTTTTTCGGGTCAGCCAGGTGTCTATCCATCACAATATGGATTTGGTATCCAAACCAAACTGAGAATTCCATGCATCCCACCTACACATGGAAATTACCAAGGCAATCATTGCAATGGAAAGCGCACTCTATCCCTGGTGTGGCGGTGGTGACGTCATGACCAGAGAACCTGCAAACTCAATTGAGTACTCGTTTGAATGAAGACTCAATTTCTGTTAGAATGTTGCAATGGTATTCTTTCGGTCATTTACATCCCACAGGTAGCAGGAACTATCTCACTGTCTCAATTAGTAGGAATGTGAACTGGCTTGCACTGTCTCAGTTAAAGGATGTTGTTGTTTGAAGGGAGCCTGATTTGCATGAAAACTCATTGTCTGTAAAAATGTGTATTTTGTTAGTGTGAGAGTTTCGCTCACAAGTATACAGTCAATTCACTTTACAGTATATTCTGTGAAGCGCTTTGAGACGTCTGGAAGGCGTGAAAAGCGCTATATCAAATGCAAAGATTATTATTATGGGAGCAAGGGGATAAAACACTAGTTGCACCTTGGAGGGACTGCTAAGAAGTGGGTCAGCTCGTTTCCTTGCACAAACCATAACTGCCAACATTTTATGGATTGCGACTGATTTAATTTAAGGGTTTGGGGTGCAGTCAGAATATATGGTTGTGTCCATTAAATATTTTAAATTTAATTTGAGAAGTGCGTATTTTAAATTTGTTAATATAAATGGGATAGTGGTTTTATCCTCCCGACTTGAAAAGCCCCAACTCTAATCACTAGGGCATTGGGTATAAAATGCCAAGCTCTGTGACACAGGAGGGATGCATCCTGCTTATCTAATTCCAGAGAGTATTGGGAATAAATTGGCAAGAGCCAAGGCTTGGGGACCCCAGTATATGCGTTGAGGTACTGCTGGAGTCCAACCAGCTAAAATCTCACAGCTTGTCATTGTCATCGCTGTCTGGCAAGCTTTCTCACTTCTTGGCCAGCTCCTTGACCAGCCTAACCTCACCTCTCTGACTTGCGGACACTCTACCAATCTGCCCGCTCCCTCTGTTCAGTGGGCTCCAGCCTGCTCCATGTATCCCGCCCGACTCGCCCTACTATCAGTAGCCAGGCTTTCAGCCTCGCTGCCCCACACTCTGGAACTCCATCCCATGGACCTTTCACTTCCTCCCTTGTCTCCTTCAAGGCCGGTCTCAAGACCCTTCTCTTCGATCGTGCCTTTGGTCGCCTTCCAACCTCTCTGCCTTCCCTCACTCCTACACCTCCCTTCCTCCATGCTCGGGCCCCGACACCTGACTGTTCAGCACTTTGGGACGTCCTCCCGACGTGAAGCGCGCTCTATAAATGTAATTTTGTTGTTGTTGTTAACCATGCGGGCTTTGGTTTGCAAGTTTAACAGGAGGTGAATGGGAAGAAACCCTGTCCATTGACTGATCTGCCCTTCCAAGTCCTGCTGATGAGCCAAGCAGGCTTAGGTTTTCATCAGCAGTGCCCTGGAGTACTGCAGACTATCTGGACTACGCACAGCTGGTTGGCTCAATTCTGACATTTCATTCTAAACATGTCAGCCTGGTGCAATGGTAATGCTCTCGAGTCAGAAGGTTGTGGGTTCAAGCCCCATGTCAGTATTTGGAATCATATCATCTAAACTGACATTCCAATGCTGTGCTGGGGTGTGTTTCACTGTCGGAGGTGCCATACTTCAGATAAGACGACCAAATCTCCAATATAAAGATGGGAGAAGCATTAAGCAATAACGATCACAATGCAGTCACATTTGACAAAACTGTCAAATTTCAAGAGGACTGTCTAGGCAGAGTCGGCATAGCAGGCTTAAATATGGCAATGGGAGTGGAGGACCTATGGAATTCCTTCAAAGAAGTGATTATGAAGGCAATGGAATAATGTGTACCCATGGGAAGCAAAGGTACCAAGCTTAAAGGCACTCCTGCCTGGTTGGTCGGGGCTACAAAGCAAATCATAAAGAGGGGGAAAAAAAAGCATTTAAGGCCATGAAGGAAAATGGCATGGAAATAAGTTGGGACTCAATACCAGAAGGCATGCAAGGACTGCAAAGAAAAGTTTTGAATTGAACATGGCAAGAGATGTGAAGGATAATAACAAAAAGTGTTTTAGTTACATTAAGAGTAGAAGAAAAACAAGCAATGGAATAGGGCCACTTGAAGGTGGGTTCGGGAGTCAATATGACAAATAATGCTGCACAGGCTGCAATAGTACTAAATAAGTTTTTTGCATCAGTCTTTACCAAGGAGGAGACTGGAAACCTATCTGATCTGGAAAGAGAACTCAAGGATGTCGCAGAGAAAAGTTGCAACACTATTCATCTCACTACCAGCATCGTTGCCAAACAGCTGCGTAAACTTAAGGTAAACAGATCACAGATCATAAATTCATCCAAGAATCCTTAAGAAACTAAGGGAGGAAGTCGCAGAAATGTTGGTACAAATCTTTCAAAAATAACTGAATACTGGAGAGGTGCCGGGGGACTGGAGAAAGGTAGATGTTACTCCTATTTTTAAGAAATGTAACAAAAGTGACCCAGGAAACTACAGACCAGTAAGTTCGACGTCCATTGTTGGTAAAATTATGGAGACTCTTATTAACAACAACAACAAAATTATATTTATAGCTCGTCCTTCACGTCGGGAGGACGTCACAAGGTGCTGGACAGTCAGGGGTCAGGACCCGAGCATGGAGGAGCAGTGGGGTAGGGATGAGGGAAGCCAGAGAGGTGGGAGGGCGACTGAAGGCACGATCGAAGATGAGGGTCTTGAGATTGGCCTTGAAGGAGGCAAGGGAGGAAGCGAGGTGAAGGGACTGTGGGATGGAGTTCCAGAGTGTGGGGGCAGAGAGGCTGAAAGCCTGGACACCGATGGTAGGGCGAGTCGGGCGGGAGACATGGAGCAGGCTGGAGCTCGCTGAACGGAGGGAGTAGGCAGATTGCTAGGGAGTCAGCAGGTCAGAGAGGTAGGAGGGGGCAAGGCCATGGATGACCTTGAAAGTGAGGACTAGGATCTTGAATTCGATCCTCTAAGAGATGGGGAGCCAGTGGAGTCAGGCGAGGGTGGGAGTGATGGGGTCATGGAGCTGGTACGCGAGAGTACACGAGCTGCAGAGTTTTGGGGATCTACAGTTTGTGAAGAGTTGGGAAGGCCGATGAAAAGACTTTCCATAATCGAGCCTTGATGTGACGAATACGTGGGTGAGGGTTTCGGCAGCCTGAGGGGTGAGGCAGTGGCGGAGTCTGGCAATGTTGTGGAGGTGGTGGTAGGCAGTGCTGGTCATGGCGTGGACGTGGGGGAGAAAGGACAGTTCAGGATCAAACAAGACACCCAGGTTCCTGACTGGCTTAGTGAGGGTCGAGTGTGCAGCCGTGGAGGCTGATGCTGCCAGTGCCTGAGGTGCCGAGGGGCTGGCGCGAGCCAATCAGGAGGGCCTCGGTCTTGGGTGTCATCCGCATACATGTGGAAATTTACCCCATGTCTGCGGAGACATAATAATTTTATCCTTATTAAGGATAATTATGGGTTCATGAAGGGAAAGTCTTGCCAATTTAATTTACTGGTTTTCTTTGACTGTGTGACAAGGGAGCTTGATAAGGGTAAGGCTGTGGATGTTGTATATCTGGATTTCAGTAAGGCCTTTGATACAGTTCCACTTGAGAGGCTGATACTGAAAGTAAAGAAGGCGGAAATCAGTGGAGGTATATTACAATGGATATGCAATTGATTGACCAGAAGAACCCAGAGGGTGGTGGTACAGGAAATGTCATCAGACTGGGAAAATTTTACCTGTGGAGTTCCTCAAGGGTCTGTTTTGGGAACCTCTTTTGTTTAATATTTTTATAAATGATCTGGAACTAGGAGTTGCAAGCACAGTGCCTAAGTTTGCAGATGACACCAAGCTAATGAAGGTGGTAGATTGAGAAGCTGAACAATATACGTACAGGAGGCTTTGAACATACCTGGGAATTGGGCAGATCGGTAGCAGATGAATTTCAATGTGGAGAAATGTAAAGTACTTCACATGGGGACAAAAAATCCTGGAAGGGACTATTATTTGAACAGAAGTAAACTAATATATATGGAAAATGAAGAGGACCTGGGGGGTCCTGATTGACAATAAATTGAAGCTCTCCCAACAATGTTCTGTGGCAGTGAGTAAAGCAAACCAGATGTTGAGATGTACCAAAAGATCAATAGCAAGGCAAAATAGTGGGGTAATCCTGCCACTGTATAAATCATTGGTGAGATCATACTTAGAGTACTGTGTACAGTTCTGGTTGCCACAGTACAAAAAGGATATTGGAGAAATCGAGAAGATACAGAGGAAGGGAAACCAAAATGATTGAGGGAATGGAAGGATTGGACTATGAGGAGCTACTAAGTAAATTGGGCATGTTCACACTGGAAAAGAGAAGATTGAGTGGCGACATGATTGCTGTCTTCAAGATTCTAAATGGACAAGACAATATAGATCATAATAGGCTTTTCAACTTGTCCAGAAGAGTAAAACCAGAGGGCACGGCCTGCAATTGAAGGGGGTAAATTCAGAACAAATCTATGCAAACACTATTTCAATGAGCGAATAGTGAACCTGTGGAACAGGTTCCCTAGGGAGACGGTTGAAGCAGGAAGTGTTGACTCTTTCAAAAACAAATTAGATAGTTTTCTTTTAGGAAATAATATCATGGGATATAGTACATAGGTAGTTTGGGACATATGTGCATGCGACCGCCAGGAAGAGTGGAAGGCGAACTCGATGGACCTTGTTTTTTTATCGTCTGGCATTTCTTATATTCTTATGTGAAACCGAGGTCCCATCTGCCTGTTCGGGTGAACGTTAAAGATCCCATGGCACTATTTAAACACAGAAGGGTGTTTCTTGCGGTGTTCTGACCAAAAAAAAACAAATAACCTTGCTCACTCATTCTATTCTCTGTGCAAACTGGCTGCCATGTTTCGCCCGCAAAACGCAGTCAACCACACTTTACAGTATATCCTGTGAAGCTCTTTGAGACGTCTCAATGATGTGATAAGGCGCTATATCGAATGCAAGGATTATTATGATGTCACCTTGGAGCGAGTTCAGCTCCAATGAGATCCCGCTGATACTGTCTTATAGGAGAGAATATTGTCTTATCGGAGAGAATACGATCTTAAAAGATCTAGTTTGCCAACAATATTCTCAACCTGCTGCACCAATACACACAACTGCCACTTCTAAGATTTTATGGAATGTTCAAATGGGAAATGGTCAAGAACATAATCGAGACATAGACACAGAGTGCTGACACAAGGGAAACTTCACTGTAAGCACTGTAAGAGTTCCAGCACATGAAAAGCAACTCTGTAAGCACAGCCAAGTGTGTCAGCACATGGAAACATCCTCTGTAACCATGACCAAGAATGGCAGCACATTGGAAGCTCCTCTGAAAATAGGATATTTCATGTTTATTAACTGTTTGCTCTGTGACAATAGAAAAGCTTAATCAGCAGCAGTTATGTGGAATAGCAGAAAGTGGAAGGTTTCTGTTTACCTCGTTCCCTGAGCCTGGCACAAAGTTCTTCACAGTAATCGTTCGTCCCGGAGCAGGGAAAGGCGCCTCCATGATACTTCTCATAAATGGCTGAACCAGGGCAGGTGAAATCATTCGTCGCTTCTCCACCTCATCCAGAATCTGCAGCAAAAGAACACAGGCTATTCTCAATCAGCTTGGCTCAGTCAGTAACACTCTCACCTCTAATCAGAAGGTTGCAGGTTCAGGCCTCACATCAGGACTTGGAACCCATATTGTGTAAGCTGACACTCTAATGCAATGCTGAGATATGCTGCATTGTTGGAAGTACTGTCTTTTGGTAATTGTCTGCTTATTCACGTGGGGGTTAAAGATTCAATGCCACAATTTGAAAAGACAAGTGAGTTTCTCCTAGTGTCCTGATCAACAATCTCCATATAAAATTGGTCATTCACTTCATGCCCGTTTGTGGGACATTGCTGTGCGCAAATTGACCTTTGCCCATAAAACAGTCACTGCCCTTTATGGTGAATGGTATGAAGTGCTTTGGGACGTTCTCCCATCATGAAAGATATTATACCAAAATGTAAGCATTATTAAGGATAATCTCCAGAAAACAATATAGGCATTGAACAATTGCAAAGGCAAGATTATTGGCCAGAACACTGTAAAAAAAAATCTTTTATTTTCAAATTGTGGTGTGGGAACCTTAACGTTCACCTAAACAAGCAGACCTTTCCTTTAATGTCTCACCTGAAGGACGGCACCTCTGATAATGCAATGTCCTTCTAGCAGAGTCAGCATTGACTGTGGCCAAAAATCCACCAAACAAAGAAAAATATCATTCACTTCATTGGCTGTTGTGTTTGACTACAAATACACAGTTACTGGCACTTTACAGAAAGCTCTGAAGTGTTTTGAGGTGTTTTTGACATAATAATGTCAAATACAAGGTTTATTATATTACCAGCACAGAGGACTGGCTGAGGAGCCACTCAGACCAACAGTGTGAGGATCTGCATTATCAGCAAGCAATGGGAAGATGACCAAGAAGAATCAATGAGACCATCTATTGCAGTAAAATTTTACCTGAAACTAGATTTTTTCTGTTAATGTAGCATTTCGGACTGCAGAATTTGGCAAATTCTTGAAATCAGGTTTAACTTTGTGGCCTGTTTTCTGCAGTTATTAAAAGAACTTACAGAAAACCACCTTCAAAATGAAAGATTCAAGACTGTAAAGATTAAAGTTAAAGACTGTGTTGAATAATTTGACAAATTCTGGCTGCTCTGAAATGTGATGTTAATGGAATGAATCTAGACCCAATTGAGAGGCTCTGCATTATCAGCACTTTTAAAGCAGATGAATGTGATCATACCTTGGAGAAGAGATTGAAGCAGCCTAAGCGACTCACGATACAATAAACTTCAGGCAAACACCTGCCTTTCCCTGAGGGCTAAGAGAAGAAGAGAAAGCCATTGGATGTATTGCAAACAATTCCACTGGTGTTTGAAAGGGCCTGTGATTTAGAGTTTGTCAAGTTCCTACCAGGAGGCGACGGCAATATCCAAAACGTCTGCTCCCATCTTCTCCAGTCAGGACGAATGAGAAAGTTTCACTGTTCAGGAAAACAAGGATAAGCTGTTAGAATAATCTACAACACAGAATAACCCTGCCCTCCAACTATCTCTGTGTAATATTATTCTCCCACTTGCTCCTCGTAATCCCATCCTCCCACTGACTTTCTCACACATCCCACAATCCTCACAGCAATAATTAGTGTGCCAATGAAGGACACAGGATACAATCATGTTATAAACCCCAAATCCCCCAATTTAAATCTCTAATACCCCCCAAACCTCTCAATTAAACCCTCATTGTAATGCTCTCTGATGTATCCTACACCTCTTACGATAACATAGTCTGTACCATGTACTCTCCTAATTAAGATGTTTCATGTAAATCTTTATGACATTGCACATTAGATTAGTTCAGAGGTACCCAGTGCTTGTAGACCTTTCTCGCTTCAGCTAAGCAAAGGTACTAGCTTCGAGCATTTTTACCTGGTGAACTGACAAATGTGATTCCAGTCTCTGGCATCAGGGAAGCAAAATTTTGGGATGGCTTTTAACTGATCCTCTGTCTCCCGCATGAACTTGAACTGCTTATCCAACTGGATGCAAAAAAAAACAGAAATCATACAACTTCAAAGTCTGCCAAATATCACCTTCACCAGGTTCCAATTCTTGGCAACAGAAATTTGGCATCAACTCAAAAGCCTTGGCAGTCTGGATAGACCAACGAGTTTGGTCCCCCAGTACTCCAAGGCATTCACGATGGACAGATCAGCTAGCCTGGCTCATCAGCAGAACTTGGAGGGATAGGGATTCTTCCTACTCAGCTCCTGTTAATCTTGCTAAACTGTGCCAATTGCTCTTCGGAAATAATAATAATAAACCTTGCATTTTAGTATTGCACCTTTCACATTTGGAGGATGCCTCAAGGCGCTTGACAGGATTTACTATAACGTGTAGGGACTGTATTTGTAGGTGAACACAACAGTCCATTTTGCACTCGGTAGTGTCATACAAACAGCGATGAAGTGAATGTGATGAATGTGATGAAGTGATGAAAAAAAATTTCTTTGACGCACTGTTGGCTTGGACAATGGGAGAAACTCCATTCTCTTTTCGAAGAATGCCATGGCATTTTCAACATTCACCCAAACGGGTAGACAGGACCTCATCTGAAAAAAGGGACTTTTGACAACGCAAATCCCCTTCCCCACCACAGCACCTATGCGATTGCAAAGTCCTGATGTGCGGCTTGAAACAACAAAGAGGCAACTCAGGGGTGAAAATGCTACCAACTGAGCCAGGTTGACACACAAACAGATAAGCATGGTGCATCCCTCTGGGGAAAGAATTTGCATTCCATTCCAGACGTGACATGAATCTCTCAGTCTGATTGGATACTCATAAACATAGTGATGGGTTCCATTTGTTTCACAAACCCAGCTGACCAAATAAAAAGTAGAATCACATTTACACAGGAGCCAGTCATTGGGTCTATTGCAGCTAACTTGGTATTAATTTCCCACTGGATCTATCTATTCTCATTCAATTCACTGCTTTATCCTCAAACTCTTTTATATTGTGCTTTTCCAGATATTTATGCAATTCCTTTTCAAGTGGTGGTATAGTTTCTGCCTCAATATATATTTGTGCAAAACTTTCTATCTTTCAACAATAACTTGTGTGAAAATGTTTCTTCTAATCTCCCTCTTCCAGCATCAATCATAAACTCATGCCCCCTAGTTAACAGATCAAATAACCCACAATATTGAATGGGAATACACAATAATGAATGGGAATAATCTTACACTGTTTATCTTTGAAAAACTTTTCAGCCTTTTTGAGACATTCATTAGAATCAATTCCCACTTAATCTCCTTGTTCCAACCACACCATACAATTCTTCAAGCTCATTCTCAACCAGAATACCTCACCTCTGCAATCTTCAATGTGAACCAACTTGGGGTGTACCTTCTCTGAGGTCTTGTGATACAGTTATGTCTAGCTCAGTTGGTAGCACTCTCATCTCTAAGTCAGAATGTTATGGGCTCAAGTTTCATGTCAGAACTCTGAGCTCACATACTGGGTTGAACCACCAGGTCAGTGCTGTTCAAGCACTGCATTGTCAGCCACGCTGTCTTCTGGATGAGACATTAAACCAAGGACCTGTCTGCCGTTTCAGCTGAACAATAAAGTTCCCAAGGCACCAATTAAAAAGAAAAGGCAACAATCCTCGAAGTTAAATTGCTAGTGGTTTGGTACCAGGCTTGGGATTTGAAAATTTCACACGCATTTTCAGTGCCTTGGGATGTCCTTCCAACGTGAAAAGTGCTATACAAATGTAAGTTTGTTGTTGTTGTGTTGGGATTTCTTATTTAATTCCTGTATTTGCATTGGAATTAGAGTTAGAGAAGGATAGGAGGTCAAGCCCTGGAAAAGAATGAATTAGAAAATGAATTGGAGGAGACTGTGCAATGAGTCCCAAGTTCAACACATTGAGAATGTGCAGAGTGAAGAAAGATGGATCAAACGGTGTGTTTGGAGTGGAGATGGGGGAGAAGAGAAAGAAAGAGGAAGGGGCCAGAGAAGAAAGTTTAGCACAACAATATTCAGAAAAGGATTGATGTAATACAGAGATATGTAAGGTGGCCATGGAGAAAGTTTGAAGTTGAGAGGTATGATAAGGAACACCCATCCAATGTCCATCCTTGTCTTCTCACAAAGATTCATAATTTGGCAACTGTCCTAACCCTCCAACATTGCATTCAATATTTTCAGGCAGCTCGGACTTTGACATGCTTGATTGGGGCCTGTGTCCTGGCAACTTTTTACCTTGAGTGGGAACTGCTGGGTGACCTCGGGTACATAAGCACCGCCTTCCTTCCTTACATGCAAAGCCACCACCACAAAAAACTCAAACAGCCGCCACTCCTGCAACTCCATCAGATCCCTCTCCAAGGTTCGATAGCGGCCTGTCTGCTTTAGCATGGACTGGATCTGCACCAGGCGCTGGCTGTGAGCTGTGGGCAGAGCACAATGATTTGGGAGCATTTAATACATGTTTAAACACATCAGTTCACATGTTCTACACTACTTAATTTTTTTTTGGAGGGAAGGGGGCTTCAGTGTCAGCTTGGCTCAGTTTGCAACACACTGGATCAAAAGGTTCTAGATTCAAACTGCAAACTGGGACTTTGAGCTTTTTTAGTTGATTGGCGGATCGCTTTACCGGCAGTAATAATCCCTTCAAAACAATAAATACATTTTTAAAAATAATAATAACTTGGTCACTCAATCCACGACTGTTTGTGGGGCACTGCAATGTATAATTGGCTGCCATAGTTCACCCACAAAACTGGGGGTGTGCTGCATTGTTTGAGGTGTGGTTCAGCGGACTCCGGGCTGCTTCACTTCCCCCACCTTACCCGCCTCACCAATGGCGGGCAAGCCTTCAGCCTCCACCCCCACCCTCTGGAACTCCATCTCAGTCCTTCTGCCTCACCCCCACTCTGGCCTCCTTCAAAATCTGTCTCAAGAACCTCCGCTTCGACCGTGCCTTCAATCACCCTACTACCCCTACCCTCCCTGCCTTCCACCCCTCTTGAGCTTGGGTGTGGATCCCTAACTATTCAGGACCTTGGAACGACCCCCTCACATGAAAGGTGCTATACAAATTTAATCTACTGTTGATGGTCCTCTGTATGAGACTTCAAGCCAAAGTCCAATCTGCCTGTTGAGGTGAACAAGTTTTTTTTTCCATGAACCATTCAGAAAGATAAATTGGCTATTCACTTCATGGATGTCGTGGAACATTGCTGGGTTTACACTGGATGCCACAAAGACGGTCGTTACACTTGTCAGCAACTATCTGTAAATCGCTATGAAACACTTTGCTGACTCTCTGCAAAGGGTAATGAGAAGTCCCATTCTGTAGTCACAGGGTCTGCTTGAATACATGGATCACAAAGCCTGACACCAGTGTAACAACAGCTGGGCAGAGGTTGGGTAGGACCCACCCGCAGCAGGAGATCAATCTGAGCTCATACTGCATTTGGAACAAATGCATGGAGTCCTGTAGCTCAGTGGTTAGAGCACTCGCTTTGCAAGCGAGAGACCTGGATTCAATTCCAGACAGGGCGAAACCTTGGGCAAGTTTCCTTACTCCACACGCCTAATGATAATCCCTCCAAAACAAAACAATAATAAATTGGTCATTTTCAATCCACAACTGTTTGTGGGACACTGCTGTGTGCAATTGGCTGCCGCGTTTCACCCACAAATATACGGTCAATTCACTTTACAGCATATTCTGTGAAATGCTTTGAGACGTCTAGCAGACGTGAAAAGCGCAATATCAAATGCAAGGATTATTATTATTAATAAAATTGAGGGGTTCACCCTGAAATGGAATACTGAACTCATTTTGCAGATGAAAGAAGATTTTTCTTACAATGACACATTGAGCTGCTATGGCTCAATATCAAAGAAAAACTGTTAAAATCGAAGGAAGCCCAATTCTAATATTCTTCAATTTATTAGAGACAAATGTGAGTGGTTTTCAGGTTTGGTAAGCTTGGGTCACACAGCCCATCACCATGACTGGGCAATCATGAAATACATCCACCATCTTCATGAAATCTCCCCTTCAATCAACTTTTGCAATTTCATACGCAAGGTTCCTCTAAGATCATTACTTTTCTTTGTGTGCAGGATCTATGCTCATCATATGACTTTAATATTTATTTAACACTCTCTCCTGCAAATAAACTTACTTTGATTTAATTGGGAAAAGCATGCAGCAGCTTGTGTTTCTTCCCACTTTTGAAAGAGACCGGATGTATAGCTGAAACCCAGGAGCTGATACTGGGCCTGGAGATGGTGAATAGAGCTGGTGATGAAAGTGAAGCCAGGGATCCGAGCAAAACCAGAGCCCGGGGACTGGAAACAGAGCCTGTGATTTTGTGAAATGTATTAAAAATAGAGGACGGTTGTTGGTGCAGAAAGTTGACATAATTGAGATAAGTGCTATACAGGGGCTGGTCTAGTCATAGGTGGTCAACTGGTTGTGTGAACTGCATATTTACCTTAAACCAAGGAAAATTCTGAAAGACCTTTTGAATTGTAGCAGGGAAATCCATTTGAAGCAGAGCTGAGCAAAATCACCTTTGCTCAAAGTAACACATTGAAACAGCACACCAGGTGAGATTATGCAGGCAGCAACATCAACACAGCAGTTTGAAAGGGTCCTTTTCCATCCTTGTTTTTTCCTAATATTTGATTTTAGTTGCTTTTTCCTGCTTACAGAAAATTCAAAACACAGACAGCCATTTGGCACTGAAACTAGGTTCCCACTGAGGCTCTCTTCTATTATCCCATTACTCTTCTCTTTTCCCCTCTTGTCTGTGCTGGTGAGAGCTTCCCCACTACATCTATATACTCTAATCCCATTCCTGATGGTTTCAGTTCACTGGAGCTGTGTGTGTGTGATTCAAGTATTTATCTGATTCCATTTTAACAACTTAACTGACTTATCGACAATGTGTGTTAGTGCAAGTTCCTATTCTAATGCCCACAGTGGAGCTCTCTATTCTCATGCCCACAGTGGAGCACTCTATTCTCATGCCCACAGTGGAGCTCTCTATTCTCATGCCCACAGTGGAGCTCGCTATTCTCATGCCCACAGTGGAGCTCTCTATTCTCATGCCCACAGTGGAGCTCTCTATTCTCATGCCCACAGTGGAGCTCTCTATTCTCATGCCCACAGTGGAGCTCTCTATTCTCATGCCCACAGTGGAGCTCTATTCTCATGCCCACAGTGGAGCTCTCTATTCTCATGCCCACAGTGGAGCTCTCTATTCTCATGCCCACAGTGGAGCTCTCTTCTAATCCCGTTTACCTCGTCTTTCCCGATTGTGTCTTGATTGGTGCTTTTGAAGATTGCCATTGAAACCCCACTTAAACCCCTCTACTCCAGTCAATAAAGTCTCAGTTTTTAAATCTTTCAACATAACTTCAGCCTGAATATTCCCAGACTCAAATAGCTGGTCCTTTAGGAGATGTGATCCTCTGATTCTCCTCTTAACCATCAGGGAATGTGTAACCAAGTAGCAGAATGTATTCTGCTACTTGGTTAGAAAACCGAAAGCAAAGAGGCTTCTTCTCAGGCTGGCAAGAGGTAGGAAATGGTGGTCCACGGGGGTTAGTGTAAGGACTGCTACTGTTCCCCATACACTTAATGAATTGTATTCAGGAAGAGGAGGCCTGGTGTCAAAATTTTGCAATGATCCCAAATTGGAGGCATGGTAAATGGAGAAGAATGCAGGCAACAGGCTTTCAGAATAGGTAGATAGATAGTGAGTGAAGTAACATAGAAAAATGTAAGTAATTTACTTAGGCAGAAAAAATAAAGCAGCCAACTATAGACTAGTTGTTAAGAATCTAAGAGGAATAAAGGAGAAAAGAGATCTGGGGATTCAGATCCACAAATTTCTAAATGTAACAATACACGTAGATAAGGTCATAAAAAAGGCCAACTTGGGCTTTATATCCAGAGGGATAGAGTATAAATGTGAGGAAGTAATGTTGAATTTATATAAAACCCTGGTTATACCACATTTGGAGTTCTGTGTCAATGTAAAGAGCGGAGCGGAGTTTTGCTAGGATGATACTAGAACTGGCAGGGTTACTGCTATCAGGATAGACTGGATACATTCAGCCTTTTTTGGCTGGAGAAGATGTTGAAGTGGGGACCAAAAGACGAGTTCAAAATTTATGCTAACATAAATTGTTCCCACTTGTTGGAATGTCAGTAACCGGGGACACAAGTATAAGAGAGTGCCTTGAGAACCTAAAAGAGAATTTAGGAGGAACTAAGGAATTACTTCACGAAGAGAGTAGGGAGAATTTGGAACTTGCTGCCCAAAGCTTTGGTTCAATCAGATAGCATAGATGCATTTAAAAGGAAGATTGATATACACATGAGGGAGAAGGGAACTGAGGGTATGGGATGGAGTAAGGAGTGGATGGGGACTCATGTGGAATAGGTAGGAAATGGGTTCCACAGGGGTCAATGTAAGGACTGTTACTGTTCCCGATATACTTAATTAATTAATTAATTAATTAAATGGATTCAGCGAAGACACGCTGGACCAAATTTACATTCTATGTAAATCTATGTAAATCCTGTGATTCGCTGTTCAAAGTTATTGAAAGAAATCTCTCTCATGAACTGGATTCAACGATGGTTTATCTTACCTTTGAGTTTCTCCTCGGTCTCACTGTCAGTCTCACTGTTTTCATCTGTAACTAAATCAGTGAAAAGAATCTTATTAGGAATTTGCAACAGCCTGAGAGAACGTGAAAAGACTGCTCTCCCCCATCACATGATTTCACAAGAAACTTATTGAAGAATTCCTCAAATAACACCAGCTAAAATTGATTTTAGAGGTTAACAATGGCTGTTATACCACCTGACCCAGCACTATATACCGTACACCTCCTGTGCCGAGTTAGACTTTACGTCCGATTTGAATAATCTATAGTTACCTCTTCCTGTGCTGGTCTCCAAAGACTGAGAGATCCTCTTCACTTTCTTTTTGCCCCTTCTGGCCTCGTATATTGCATTAATTTTCAACACCACCTGCATTAAAAGGCAAAGAGGAACAATTGCCAGCACTCCACAGAGGTTATTGAAACATATAAGATTCTTAAAGGGCTGGATAAAGTAGACACTGAGGGACTGTTTCCCCTGGTAGGAGAATCTATAACCAGGGGTCACAGTCTTAAAATTAAGGGTCAGCCTTTTAGAACAGAGTTGAGGAAACATTTCTTCACTCAGAGGGTAGTGAATTTATGGAATTCACTACCCCAGAAGGCTGTAGATGCTCAGTCCTTGAACATCTTCAAGGCTGAGACTGATTGATTTTTAAAAAATAGAGGGATCAGGGGAATATGGGGAGAGGGTAGGTAATTAGAGTTAGGTCTGAAGATCAGCCATGATCTCATCGAATGGCGGGGCAGGCTCGAGGGGCCGAATGGCCTACTCCTGCTTCTAATTCTTATGTTCTTATGTTCTTATGTCACAGTATGGGTAAGAAAAGTGGTATTGCTGCATTAAACTAGGGTACAATGGGCTGACATTAATGTATCAGAGCTCAAAATCCATGGACTGGCACAGATGCCTTTGGACTCGGGACTGGTATTGCTGCATTAAGACATCAGGATCAATGGACGAGTATTGTTACATTAGAGATTAGGATCAATTGATTGAACTAACCCTAACCCATTCAATTGATTGGCATTTTTGCATTAGAGCAAAAGGTCAAGGGACTGCATGACTGCTAGAAGTCAATCAAATGATATTACTGTTTCCAGTCAATGGACTGGCATTGCTACATTGGCAAAATAAACTTGAACCAATGAATCATCAAACCTAACCCATAGAAGGGGTCACTGCTCAAACTGATGAAAAAAAATCAATGTTGCTGTGAGGGAAGATATACCTTTGGAATTTTTTTTCTTCTCCTCGATTGCTGCGAATCTCCTGGTAAGCTAAGCGTTTCATCAGGGCTGCTAGGAGTGGATGGTGGACTTGCTTTTGATGGTGAGCTTACACCATCTTTGTTGCTTTTCCTTAAGTCCAGTAGCTTGAAGCTTCTCCTCTCTGAGGAATGCCTGAATAGACCAGGAGTCTTCAGGGGGAGCTGTAAAAATATGAAGTCTCTTAAATAAACAATGAATTTGGTAAGGTCAATAAAAGCTAACAACTAAGCAACCCAGAACATGAATAAATGATGACTGAATGGATATCACTGAACCATTCAAAATTGTGATCATGATCAAGAGACACAGAGAGTGCAGAGAGCGAATTTATTGAGAGGAAACGTATCTCCATCTATAAATTTTCATTCAAACCGAGCAACTCATGATGCAGGGTAGCACATGATGATTCAGAGTGGGTACCTCGTGATTTTGGGCAGCACGTTAGACCTTTCAAAGGTTGGGTACATCTCCTAACCCAGCAGCACACTTCCATAACCCAAGGGGAGCACTCTTATAATGCTGAGCTGTGCTGCTCACCAAGAAGCTGGCAAGGAGTTCCTGCTATCAACCAAGTGAAGGCTCAAACCTGCGTTTGTCAGATCTCAAATCTGTGCATTTGTCAGATCTCAAATCTGTGCATTTGTCTCAAATGACCAACTCGTAATTTGGAGGGGGGGAGGGGTGGGGAAGATAGGTAAACAGAGTTTCTCTGGAGCTCAGCTGATTCCAAGGTGATCTGTTTGGCAACATGAAGTTTGGCAACATGAAGTTGGAATCGAGTCAAAACTCCAGTACTCCTTTGCACAGTACTCCAAGGCATTAATGATGACAGATCAGCCTGCATTAGCAGAACTTGGGAGGGACAGGGATTCTTCCCAATTGGCTCCTGTTAACCCTTGTTAGTATAAGAAAAGGTTAACAGAATAGATGGCTCATATGCAGCGACCTGTGAGCAGGGCCCCTGACTAGAGACCAGAGACTGGAATGCAAGATTATGAAACATACTGATTGAGAAAGAACAGGGAGTACGGACAAGGAGCTAGATAAGGAGGAAAACTAGTCTCAGCAGGGCACATAGTGGAAAAGTACCATCACGAGCAGATCATGGGTACACCAACTAGCTGGGTATATATACAACAGACACACAAAGAAAAAGTGAGCTCCACAGAGTAAGAACTACAGGTTGCTGAGTAAGTGCTAGTCATCAGGCAAGACTGCTTATCTGGTAGTATATTCTGTTACATTGTTGAATCAACTGTCTTGATTGTACAACTCTGTGTTCAGACCTTTATTGGTTAATGGGGAGGATCCAATCATGATAAGAAAGAACCCAACACCCTGCAAGCCCAAGAACTGATGTACAGGGATATTCTATCGGGACAAGCAGTGGGAAGCTTGCCAGACAGTGCTCTCATTAAGAACATAAGAATTTGCTTTGCGAAAGAAGACCAAGGTCCATTTAGTTTGCCTTCCACCATCCTGGCAGTTGCTTGACATGTTGTGTGCCAAAATATACACTATATCCCAAGATATTATTTTCCAACAGAAATCTATCTAATTTGTTCTTGAAACAAATGACATTTTCTGCTTCCACTGTCTCCCTAGGGAGTCTGTCCCATATGTTTGCTACTCACTTACTAAAGTAGTGTTTATGCAGATTTGTTCTGAATTTACCCCCCTTGCGGTCGAAGGCCATGTCCTTTGGTTCTACTGTTCAGTACGAGATGAAACAACTTGTAATGGTTTATATTATCCATTCCCTTCAGAATCTTAAAGACCATAATCATATCACCTCTCAACCTTCTCTTCTCCAGTGTGAACATGCCAAGTTTATCGAATTGCTCTTAGTAGTCCAGTCTCTGCAACCCTCAAACATTTTGGTTACCTTCCTCTGTATCCTCTCAATCACTGCAATATCCTGTTTATATTGCGGTGAAAAGAATTGCACAGAGTTTCCAAGTGTGGTTGCACCAGTGATTTGTAAAGTGGCAGGATTATCCCACTATTTCGCTCAATATTGCCTTTTTAATACAGCCCAGCATCTGGTTTGCCTTACTCACTGCTACCAAGTACTGTTGGGATAGTTTCATTTTATTATCAATCAGGTCCTGTTCAAAATTTCTACATTAAATTTCAGCTGCCATCGATCTGCCTAATTCCCAAGAATGTTCAAGTCCTCCTGTAACCTATCCTGTTCATCTTTGCAGTCTACTATCTTCATTAGCTTTGTGTCATCTGCAAATTTAGCCACTGTGCTTGTGACTCCTAGCTCCGGGTGGATTATGAAGATGTTAAATAAACGAGGTCCCAAAACAGATCCCTGTGGAACTCCACTGGTAACATTCTCCCAGTCTGATGACATTTCCTGTACCACCACCCTCTGGGTTCTATAGGTCAGCCAATTGCATATCCATTGCAAGATACTTCCTCTGATTCTTGCTTTCTTTATTTTCAGTACCAGTCTTTCACGAGGAACTGTATTGAAATCCAGATATACAACAGTTAGAGCCTCCTTACCCTTGTCAAGCTCCTTTGTCTGTAGTTTCCTGGGTCACTTTTGCTACTTTCTTAAAAAAAAGGAGTAACATCTGCCTTTCTCCATTTCCCAGGCACCTCTCCAATATCCAGTGATTGCTGAATGACTTGTGCCAGAGTTCCTGCAATTTCCTCCCTTAGTTCCTTAAGGATCCTTGGATGCAAGTTATCCGGTTAGTTAAGCAGTACCCCAATGCACTCTGAGGTCCCCAAGCTTTGGCACTGACAAAGCTGTACCAAAAGCTCTCTGGAATTGGGTAAAGCAGGGTATATCCCTCCAGGGAGAGAGTATGCATCCCATTCCAGACACAGGGAAATTTCCATGTGTGGGTTGCATACATATAAAATAAATATTTCATCATGTCAGCATACCCATGTACATTCCCATCTTGGCAGTCAGTAAGCTTCTGCTTTACTCCTGCCAATCTGGAAGCTCAGGGATGCCTCATTTTCTGCACAAGCCTTGATTCACTGGGAAGCCTGATTGAAATCACTTGCTGATTCATAAGATATGTTGTCGGCTGAATTGTCTGTTCAAGCTCAAGACTCTGGCAATGGTCGCGCTGGGATTACGCAGGAATGAAAAATGATGCATTCTAATTCTAAGCATAAAACCAACAAAACCCTTCCTGGCAGACCCATGAGCTAAGGTTGATTGTACCTTAGTCGGAGTCCCTGGCCTGCTTCCTGATGGAGAACTTGCTTTGGGTGTGGTCCCAGCTGATGAAGGACGAACACGGACACAATGCTTTCCTGTGAAGCGCCTATCTGCTGTCTCGATATCCTCGTACAGGTTTTCCTTGGGGGGATCTTAAACACCAAGCAGAAATAGAATAAGAATAAATATATTCGTCACTTGACCTCCCCCCACCCCACCACCAATCCAGGAAGTACAATGATGCAGCACACACCAGCCAAGACGTTAGTTAACTGAATAAGAATTTAATAAAAATAAAGCCCATAACTCTCTACAGAAGGACTCACTAATTCAAACTCCTGACATTCAAACCCAGGCCTCCCATGTCCTGGGAGAGGCCAAGCAGCTGGTGATGGCACTTCACCTCTATGTTGTTGAGTGCCTGCATGCCTTTTGTGGATTAATATAGCCAGTCAGGACGTACACTCAAGGCTGTACTGGCTGCATTGTTAAGAGTCGCTATCCCTCGGACAAAAACAAAGTCCCATCTGCCTGCTCAGTTGGACGTTAAAGATCCCGCAACACAATTTGAAAAGAGAACTTGGTTTATCCTCCAGATAATAATAATAATTCTTGCATTTGCTATAGTGCTTTTCATGTCTTCTAGACAGAATATACTGTAAAGTGACTTGACTATATATGTTGTGGGCGAAACAGGGCAGCCAATTGCGCACAGCAGTGTCCCACAAACAGTCGTGAATTGAGTGACCAAATTATTATTATTGTTTTTTTTTCTTGAAGGATTATTATCAGGCGTGTGGAGTAAGGAAACTTGTCCAAGGTTTCGCCCTGCCGGGAATTGAACCCAGGTCTCTCGCTTGTGAGGCTCTAACCACTGAGCTACAGGAATTCACTGAAGAACACATATACTAATCTGTCAGACAGACTGGGTTAGCGTAAGGTCCAGTATGTACAACATCTCCAGGCTATGTTCTGCCATGTGCTCTACTGGAGATAGCCGCCAATTGTGAATTCATCCTTCGCCACATCTCTGATGAACCTATGTGCACCAGCAAGAGACAGAATATACTTCCTTCCACGTTCCTCCTTTCCTACATCACCATGTGTGCTCTCTCTCCTCTCTTCCAAAGTGAGAGAGAATCAAAAACAAACACATAATCGTCAATTCCCACTGCCCAGCATCTTACCTACAATATCCTCGTATATGTTCTCCTCCGACACAGTGGAGTTCAGAGCCTGACTGGACACAGCGCTCCCATCCAACTGCCGTTGCCTTAAGAGACTGGACAACTGCAGCATCTGCAAACATTTCATGTCTTCAAACTCAAAGGACTTTCGCCTGCACAAGAACACAATCATTTGCTGTTAATGATTCAATATACGCATCACTTCCATACATTACTCACCATGTTTCAGTAAGTACTCCTAGGTTAAGTACAGTATGGGGTAGATACAGAGTAATGCTCCCTTTACACTGGCCCATCCAGCAATTCTAAGTTAGACAACACTTTAGTTCGGGACAGAGTAAAGTTTCCCCACNTTTTTTTGGTCATCTGGGTGTATGAGAGACACAGAGATACCATTGGCAAGCTTAAGAATATCCAAACCAAAAATCAAGAGCACCAAATGTGCACGCTGCATACATATGGAAATTTTCCTGTGTGGGAATGGAATGAGTATTCCCCATTTGGTTCCAGATCAAGTACAAAGAAAATGGAATGTGTGGAAATGGAATACGCATTCTTTCCCAGGAGGGAAAGTGTTTAACTAATTCCGGAGAGTTGTAGGTACAGACTTGGAGAATCGAGTGTGCAATGAAATTAGGCTGGAGTTTAACCAACTAAAACCACGTAGCTTGCCATTATGATACTGTCTGGCAAGCTGCCTGCTGCTTGTCAAGCTAGGAACAGCCAAACTATTCAGGCTTTGGCTAGCAGGGTTAACAGGAGCCAAATGGGGACAATCCCTGACCCTAACAACTGGCCTCACCAAGTCTTGCTGACGAGTAAGGCTGGATGATCTGTCGTCAACAGTGGCTTGGAGTTTTGCCGGACTCGGATTCCAGAAGACTGAAACCACCTCAGAGGATCGACTCCATTCCAATTGCCAGGTACGTAACCTTGGAGCCAGCTACATCACCTTGGAGGCAACTAAGCCACAAAAAGATCCTGCTTGCCACTGCACAGAGGATGAAACCCATCCAAACTGTCCCATTGAGGGCAGATTCAACATGACTTTGATCCAGAGTAATTCCCCTCCATTTTCCATCCAGCACTCCTAAGTCAGGTACAAAGAAAAACTCCTAGAGGTGGGGTGGGAGCTCTGTGCCAGCAAAGGAACTGACTCTCAATCTTGATAAATCTCCCCTGCTTAGGACATTCTTCTAGTTCAACTCCTCAGTGATTATCTGAGGAAGGAGACCAGAATTCAGGCATACCTTGCGGCTGTAATATGCAATGCAGTTCCATTGTATAAAGAGGAAAACTTTATCCACTCTCCTGGAACAGCTTCAGACAGCTCTAGAAAACAACACAAGCGCACTCACCGGAGGTCTTTGCTCCTTGATCTCCCACCTAGAGCTGAAGTGCTGACTGCAGGGGGAGGTGAAGAAGGCAGCGGGGGAGGAACCGGTGGTAAATCCGGAAGTCTCCGGCCACTCTTCCTTGCTGCTATTTGTTCTGGCCCATATCTGAAGGTCCTCTTGGGTTTGGGTACTGGATTCACAGGAGTTTCCTGATCCTGGGCTCCAGGTTCGGAATAGACATTCTCCACATTTCGCACTTTGCAGCTTGCCCAGCACACCTTGATGCTATCTGCAGTCCCAAAGATAGGCTCACTTGCCTCAGATTCTGAATTGGAACGTAGGTGCTTTCGTTTGAGCTCTGAGCTGCAGCTCTCATCCTTCTCCTCCTGGGGTACTGGAGTCTCCCGGCCTCTGTCTGCCTCCTCCTGCCTCTGTGGGATGTAGCAACTGCCTGGCAACTGGAGTCCACCATGCTTCGGACTGTCCTTCAAAACTTCCTCCAGCTTCTCTATGTGGCACAATACTGATGACTTATTTCTTTTGTTGGACTGTGACGTGCTAAGTTTGGTGCAGGCAGCCTCTTTCATCCTCGTAATAAGTGGCTGTGCCAAATCAAGCTTTGATGAATCGGGCTTAGACATGCCATTCTCCTTACCCACAACCAGCCTGTGCTCGGTTGCCAATCCCTTGGCCTTCTCATCATCGAGTTGGCATTCATTTTCTTTCCCAACACCCTCAATGTCTAGTTGCAACATGACCGACAGTTTGGGCTCAGTTTTCCTGTCAAAGATATCCTCTGGCCTTCCCAATGGATCAAGCACACTGCCAACTTCTGTTGCATCCTTTTTTTCCCATTGCTGTCTATCTGCTAAAGAAGTCAACTCACTCTTGCCCTCCCATTCAGAGATCTTCTGTCTGATACTTGGATTCCGACCTCGAATACCGGCTTTGTTTAAAGACAAACTCTGCCCAAATGCATTCCTCCTTCTTAGGCAATGTCCCTTTTCCGAGATGCTGTTAATATCCAGCGCTGGGTCACTAATGATCAGTTGTTGATTTAACATCTTCTGCTCCAGGCTGGTCAGTCGTGTTGTGTCCAAGCAGCTATTGATGGGCTTCACTGAACACTTCACCTTTATGTTGTTGAATGCCAGTGTACCTTTTGTGGCTAAGCTCTGGTCCTTCTTCAGGATACTTTCAGACCTCGGATTAACCCTAGAAATTAAAAAGACATGGGTTATTCTGACAGTACAGGCCAGCAGAGCAAAGCAGCATATTCATAATCTTTAATGGACTTTCATTCATCAAGAAAAAGATCTGATTCATGGTGTGATGAAGCACAATCACTGGTTTTGTGCAGAAACTCTGTCCACTGATAGGGACTTAGAGATCACAGTATGAAGTAACCTAGATGGTCAATTACTTACACAAATGAGCTGCAGAACTACCGAGGCCTGAGAGAATGTTCCAAACTACAATGGCTAAGATCCTGCCATCTCATTTTTAATGTACTATTTCACACTCCAACCCTCTCATGTAGAGTTCACTCCTCTACACTCCTACCCTCTTATGGTCAACATGCCTGCCAACACATGTATCTGCCCTCTCATGTATAGAGCACCACTCCATGCTCCCAATCTCTCATGTACAGTACAGCACTTCATTCTCCTGCTTTTCATGTATTGTGCACCTCGCCACAATTCGGATGGAACAACAACGCCAGGAACGAGAGAATCTGGAAAAAGAAAGACAAGGGAAAGAGAAAGGCAAGAGCAGCTTGAGCAAGAACAACTGGAGTGGGAAAGTGTCTTCTGCTGGTAAGTGACCCATGAGGCTTAATGGACTTTTATTTGGCAGGTGTATAGACTGTAATAATCTATAATTTGAAGTGAAGCTGCACATCCCTTCCAGAACCTGTGTCATTAATTAAGAGTACAGAGCTGAGGGTGGCAAGCTGCAGGAAAAATCAATGGAGAAATTGTGGCTGGTGATGCCAAGTTTATTATGAATGATTGCGTAAGAGAATACTGCTGAAAGTAAAGGCAATCACATTGACATGGTCCTAGAGAGAGAAACTCCTTTAGGGTGAGGGGAGGGAATGAGCTGTAAGGCTATTTTCTAGAAATCTCTCCTTCAGAGGAATATTTTGTGTGCTGAATTGGCAAATCTGTTAGATTCTGAAGGAGTAAAGAAGAAAGCAGTGTCAAGGAAATGAAATGAGGATTTAATGGAGTAAAGCAAGATGGGGTGAGGTTCTGAGTGGGTTCTGCTGCTCCAAGTGTTTGATTTCTGTTCATCAGGGCACAGGTGTTGAGCTATTCCCGGTCATAATGGAGAATGACTTTATGATCATTGTCAATGACATAATGGACAATGACTACGATTCCATAATAGAGTAAGGTTATCTTGGAGGCAAAGGACAACCCCAAGTTTCCACCACTAACAGTCTCCTCCATCCACCTTCCCATACCTTGTCCATCCTCTCCTCAAACTCCAACTGTGAGGAGATGCTGGTCTTACTTGAATCTAAAATCGAGGGGATATGTTCAGCCACCTCAGCCCCCTCCACAGCCACCCCCACATTATGTCTCCCTCATGACCCACCCCCACCCATCCCCCCCTATACTCCTTCGACCCTATCTCTCCCTCCTCCCTCACCACAACTATCCACAAACTCAAACCCACCACCTGCTCCCTCGATCCCATCCCCATCTCCCTCCTGGTCTCCCAGCTCCATCTTCTGGCCCCCCCTCTTGTCCGATGTCATCAACCTCTCTTTGTCCACCAGTTTAGTTCCCACCCCCCTAAAAACAGCCGTCATCACCCCCGTCTTGAAAAAAACCTTCCCTGGATCCATCCCTCCTCTCCAGCTACCGCCCCATCTCTAACCTCCCATTCCTCTCCAAGGACCTGGAACAAGTCGTCGCGTCCCATCTCCGCTCTCTTCTCTCTCGCCGTTCCCTCTTTGAACCCCTCCAATCCAGTTCCCGCGCTACCCACAGCACGGAAACAGCCCTGGTCAAAGTCACTAATGACATTCTGAACATCTATGATCAGGGCTCCCTCTGCCTCCTTGTCCTCCTCGACCTCTCTGCCACCTTCGAAACTGTCGACCACTTCATCCTCATACATCGCCTCTCCACTTTACTCAATCTTCACGGACCTGCCCTTGCCTGGTTCAATTCCTATCTCTCTCACCGTCTCCACTTTGTTGCCTCTAACTGTTTCTCCTCCAGCCCCCGCACTGTCACATCTGGCGTCCCCCAGGACTCTGTCCTTGGCCCTCTCCTCTTTAATATCTACATGCTCCCCCTTGGTGACATCATCCGCAGACATGGGGTCAACTTCCACATGTATGCGGATGACACCCAACTCTATCGTTCTGCCTCCACCCTCATTTCCAGGATCACTGCTGTCCTGACAGACTGTCTGTCGGACATCAAGTCCTGGATGAGGGCAAATTTCCTACAGTTGAGTGTGAACAAGATTGAGGCCCTCCTGATGGCTCGCGTCAGCGCCTCTGCACCTCAGACTCTGGCAGCATCAACCTCCATGGTTGCACACTACACCTCACCAAGCCAGTCAGGAACCTTGGTGTCTTGTTCGACCCTCAACTGTCTTTTCTCCCTCACATTCAAGCCATGACCTGCTCTGCCTTCCCTCAACTCCGTAACGTCGCCCGATTCCGCCACTACCTCACCCCTCAGGCCACTGAAACTCTTGTTCATGCCTTCATCACCTCCAGGTTCGACTATGCAAACGTCCTGCTTGTCGGCCTTCCCAACTCCTCCCTCCACAGGCTGTAGATAATCCAGAACTCTGCAGCCCGTGTCCTCTCCCACACCAAACTCCATGACCCCATCTCCCCCACTCTTGCCTGACTCTATTAGCTCCCTATCCTTCAGAGGATCCAGTTCAAGATCCTGGTTCCTCACATACAAAGCCCTCCATGGCCTCGCCCCACCCAACCTCTGTGACCTCCTAACCCCTACCAACCTGCCTGTTCCCTCTGCTCAGTCGGCTCTGGCCTGCTCCACGTCCCACCATTGGCGGGAGAACCTTTAGCCACTCTGCCCCCAACCTCTGGAATTCCATCCCCCAGTCACTCCGCCTCGCCCCCTCCTTAGCCTCCTTCAAGTCCCACCTCAAGACCCTCCTATGCTATCGGTCACCCCCCGACCCCAGCTCGGATCTGAAATGCTGTACTCTGTCCAGCGCCTTGGGACGTCCTCCCGACGTGAAAGGCGCTATGCAAATGTAATCTTGTTGTTGCGTTAGTGCAAAACTCCACACACTGATTTATTTGTGTGCCGTGCAACAATCTTGTGTGTCATTCACCACCTCATGCTCGTGTACAGTCCTAGAACTGTAGCAAATTGCTATTGGTTGCTCTTTAACTGACGAACATCTTCATGCATATTCTTTCTGGGAATCCAGAACCTTCCAGCATTTCAAAAAAGAAGTGGGGAACTGGTAACACAGTAATATTAGCAATTCAATTCAATTCCTGGATGAGTCACTGGAAATTCCTATATCATTGTACAACACAAGCAATGTGTCCCTGGAGGTTTAAAGCTGGAGCTGGACAGAAAGCACAGCTCAGTTCTGACAGAATCTGCTTCTCAAGTTGCACAAGACACGTTATTATTTATTATATGCCTAGCAGAACAGCACAGAGAGGCAAAAATTCATGCCAATTTTTAAGAGACTCGACCTCTCCTTCAAATGCCTCTTCAACCTTGCACCACCTTATGTGTTCGATATCCAGCAACTCAATTCACTTGACAACTCCCTCCAACCTGCAGCCTGCTTCACGCATCTCGAATGCTCCAATCCACCATCAGTATACAAGCCACAAGCTGTTTCGACCCCTACTTCTGAAAAGTTTGTCTGTAATCCCTTCATTTTGCCCCTTCTCTCAAATCCCACCGGAAGACTTATCTCCTTGACTGGACCTTCAGCCACCTCCTCCCCACACCCATCCTAAGTTCTGTTCAGTCTTTGAGCACTGTTCTGCACTTAGAGATGTTCTCCAAACATGAAAGATGCTACCCAAGTGTAAAACGCTGTTGGGAGTTAAAAAGCTGGGAATCCTGTGGGAGGGGAGACGAAAACAACTGAGACCTGGAATTCCAAACCCCTCCACAGTGGCTGCCATTGTGTTGCAATCCATGGAGAACAACCCCCCACCACCGATTCTACAACACCTTCAACCTTCAAATCAGAGTGGGGAAGGGGGGGAAAACACAACCACTCACACTTTCTGTGCCTTGTTTTTTTTCCTCTTTCTTCTCCTCCCCCCCCACCCCCCACCATTTCAGAAGGAAGAGTATGAAAATACGTGCGTGAGGAAATGTCAAGAAAATCGCTTTTTCTATCTGTATTTATCCCTTCTCGACCCCGTGGCACCTTTTATTCAGGGCTGGGAGGGGGAGTAAATGAAACAAGGGCACTTCTACATACTCTGTTAAAGATTCTGAAAGAGTAACTGTATATTGTATTAATTATGGCCTTGCCTATACCCTGCTCTTTTCATTGATATTTTAGTCACAGGACATGGAACAGTTCCACTGAACCCCAACGAGGCCTCACCTGAGATACCATCTATTAATTATTAACTAACATATGGCTGGTAACAATTTATAAACTGTAAACTGAAAATCAGGGTAGTGCACCTTCAAACAACAAAACATATCTGCTTTTCCTATTTCCGGACATATTTCAGCTTTTCTAAATCAAGCAGAGAGCTCATCGCTCCTGAAACCAATTCTTAAAGGGAAGAATATTCAGCTGATCATAAGGGAGTAAGAAACACCATAGATCATTATGTGACCAACACTTAATTCAAAATTGGCAAACCAGAGAGATTCTTTAAAACACAAACACATTTAGGAAAGGACTAAGTAAAACCACAGCTGTTTCTGAATTCACTGCTGTGTGTTTCCTTTACTCAGACGAAAACCGCAGCCAAATGCTGTGGTTAAGTCCTGCAAAACCACTGATTGATCTCAGGAGCCTGTGCTTAAACTAAATGTTCTGAACAAACACCGTTTTTTGAGAACGTCGAAAAAGAGCCAACCTACACAAAACTGAGGCATTTACAGGGAGAACACACCAGCACAACTCCTTGATTGATGATTGCATTTTAAACCTGTTAAAATTGTATACGCACGTCATACTGATATAACACTCCTGTATTTAAGACATAATATGCT